TGTCTGGGTTGACTAGAAGTATTGTTCACAGGGGAACATGTCTGGGTTGACTGGCAGTATTGTTCACAGGGGACCATGTCTGGGTTGACTGGCAGTATTGTTCACAGGGGACCATGTCTGGGTTGACTAGAAGTATTGTTCACAGGGGACCATGTCTGGTTGACAGGCAGTATTGTTCACAGGGGAACATGTCTGGGTTGACAAGAAGTATTGTTCACAGGGGAACATGTCTGGTTGACAGGCAGTATTGTTCACAGGGAACCATGTCTGGGTTGACTGGCAGTATTGTTCACAGGGGACCATGTCTGGGTTGACTAGAAGTATTGTTCACAGGGGACCATGTCTGGGTTGACTAGAAGTATTGTTCACAGGGGAACATGTCTGGGTTGACTGGCAGTATTGTTCACAGGGGACCATGTCTGGGTTGACTGGCAGTATTGTTCACAGGGGACCATGTCTGGGTTGACTGGCACTATTGTTCACAGGGGACCATGTCTGGTTGACAGGCAGTATTGTTCACAGGGGACCATGTCTGGGTTGACTGGCAGTATTGTTCACAGGGGACCAGGTCTGGGTTGACTAGAAGTATTGTTCACAGGGGACCATGTCTGGGTTGACTGGCAGTATGTTCACAGGGGACCATGTCTGGTTGACTGGCAGTATTGTTCACAGGGGACCAGGTCTGGGTTGACTAGAAGTATTGTTCACAGGGGACCATGTCTGGGTTGACTAGAAGTATTGTTCACAGGGGCCCATGTCTAGGTTGACATGCAGTATGTTCACAGGGGACCATGTCTGGGTTGACTAGAAGTATTGTTCACAGGGGACCATGTTGGGGTTGACTAGAAGTATTGTTCACAGGGGCCCATGTCTAGGTTGACATGCAGTATGTTCACAGGGGACCATGTCTGGGTTGACTAGAAGTATTGTTCACAGGGGACCATGTCTGGGTTGACTAGAAGTATTGTTCACAGGGGACCATGTCTGGGTTGACTAGAAGTATTGTTCACAGGGGACCATGTCTGGGTTGACTGGCAGTATTGTTCACAGGGGACCATGTCTGGGTTGACTAGAAGTATTGTTCACAGGGGACCATGTCTGGGTTGACTAGAAGTATTGTTCACAGGGGACCATGTCTGGGTTGACTGGCAGTTTTGTTCACAGGGGACCATGTCTAAGTTGACTAGAAGTATTGTTCACAGGGGACCATGTCTGGTTGACAGGCAGTATGTTCACAGGAGAACATGTCTGGTTGACAGGCAGTATTGTTCACAGGGGACCATGTCTGGGTTGACTAGAAGTATTGTTCACAGGGGACCATGTCTGGGTTGACTGGCAGTATTGTTCACAGGGGACCATGTCTGGGTTGACTAGAAGTATTGTTCACAGGGGACCAGGTCTGGGTTGACTAGAAGTATTGTTCACAGGGGACCATGTCTAAGTTGACTAGAAGTATTGTTCACAGGGGACCATGTCTAGGTTGACTGGCAGTATTGTTCACAGGGGACCATGTCTGGGTTGACTAGAAGTATTGTTCACAGGGGACCATGTCTGGGTTGACTGGCAGTATTGTTCACAGGGGACCATGTCTGGGTTGACTAGAAGTATTGTTCACAGGGGACCAGGTCTGGGTTGACTAGAAGTATTGTTCACAGGGGACCATGTCTGGGTTGACTGGCAGTATTGTTCACAGGGGACCATGTCTGGGTTGTCATTGTTCTTCATGCTACATCGGGCCACCTAGCCCCCTCAGCAGAACACACTCACTGCTGTGTTGCTGCCAGCAGGTGGGGGAATGTGGGCACTGTGGTAAACACTCTCTGGGTTAGTCTACCCCAGACATAGAGGCTTCCAAGGGGACCGATTACAACATTGGGAACTGTTTAAAGGAGTATATAGAGGTGATATTAACCTCCACCTGTGATAATCAGCCCGGTAATGCTGAGCATGTGTGGGAAGGGTGCTACCTGAACCAGATGCAACAAACTGAACAGATTAGATGGCACCAGTCTTCAACGGTTCAAGGGGGGGTCGGGTAGCCTAGTGGTTAAAGCGTTGGCTCGTCACGCCGAAGACCCGGGTTCGATTCCTGACATGGGTACAATGTGTGAAGCCCATTTCTGGTGTCCCCCGCCATGATATTGCTGGAATATTGCTAAAAGCGGCGTAAAACCATACTCACTCACTCACTAATAAGTTTAGAATACAGTGGTCTATGCATATAATTTTCATCACCGTTTTGCCTTTTAGGCTCAATGGAATCTCTTTTGGCAGGTAATGGAGCCTGGTTATTCTCTGGCGTTGACGTTTTATATATAGTGCCCATCCAACCAATAATTAGGATCTAATCGACAAAATAAACTGAACAACTGGGTTCTGTCTAGTCTTTAATATAGTAGGATCCTTTCCAAATATTTTGAATGGGGCACTGCAGGTTCCGTTATATAGGTATGAAATTGAAAGAGCTTATGTTATATCTAAGCTGATGTCTTCGTGATCTTCATTGCACAGATCTCTTGACTTGGGTCCAGTACAAGAGTTAGGTCAGCCTGCCTGTTGTTAGGCATCATGTACTGGTAATGGTATACTTGAACAATTCTTGAAAATGCTCTACCTCTATTACATTATTGCTATAATTCCTGTAATATGTCTGTCATCACACTAGAAAGTGTTCAGATTTTCAACAGAAGTACGCTTCATCATCAACTAATCAACCAACCCCAATCACTTTGAAAGAACATAGCGTAAAAAAGTAATTCAAATAAACATGTGCAGCAAACATTCTTTAAGTTCGAGCTTCCCATCCCAAAGTTAACTCATCTGAAAAACCATATGTAGCAGATGGAAGCACACCATCTTTGAACTTTGATAAAATATACATATGCAGTCTTCACCTTACCTGAACCCTAGAATTTAGATAGCATGGTATCAAGAAGTCTGTATTGAACACCCACCCAGGCTAGCACACCCAGACAGGTGCTACAGCATCTCTACCAGGTTATCTTGTAGAAGGACCCTGGGTGCCACTGTTGGCGGGGGAGGAGGAGGTGTGTACCTCTGTGGGGACATGTGGGCAGGGGAAGATGGTCAGCACATGGCTGTCTGCACTGGGGGGTCTGGCCTGTCAGGGAATTGTCTGGGAGCGCATATCAGGGGTTGATACCTTCCTAATTACTTTTTTTGACAGGCAAGATGCACTGATTAATGCTCCTGTGTGATACAATCTCAGTTGGGAGGTTGAGCTTTGAAATTTTGATGAAGAAAAGTTGTTTCATTTATGAAAGGCAACAGACTTTTGTCTGAGACTGGGGTCACTCCTTGTTCACTGAATTCTTTGGCTTATTAGTATGATTGGTGGAGTTGTGAGTAAGGGTTTGCCTTTCTTGACAAAAATTGAAATATCACAAGTGATGGAGCCTATTCGTGTGTCTGTTACTGTGTTACTGATGTGATTTTGCTGGAATATTGATAAAAGTGAGAAAAAATACACACTCTCACACAAGGACATGCATACATCTATGATACTCTCTGGATAGTTTGCACTTGTGAAAAATCATGATTGCTTTTTCTAAGACTGTTTCGGTGGCTAGTGTTCAATAACAGAACCAGTGGAAAATTTACTCTGCAATAAACTTTCACAGTATCAACAAAACAATAACATTGAGCCCATATGTTGACAAACAGCTGATTCATGGACTTTTATAGGTCTAACCTCAGCATATTGTTTAGGAGTGCACAATGCACTATGTGGGCCAACTCCTGCATGACAAATTCAGACAGACAGAATGGTAGAGGCCGTTGGCGCCAAGAAACACTGCAGTGAAACTATGTCATTGCATGTATGCAGTTGATTGTTTTCAGATAGAATCGGTGCCTGTTAAGTGCTGAGTGACTCTTTAATTGTTACCACCTGTCTGTGCAGACATGTGCTGTCGCGCTTTTGAAAATTCCATTTGGTTGTAAGTTTTTAAAAGTTCTTTTTACTCTGGACAAAAAGGTTCTGACATGTACTGTTGAATAATGAGTAGATTTTGTGAACGTTTCTGGTTCTTGTTTACGTATGTGTTGCTCATTTGATTAGGGTTTTTTTCAGTTCTGTTTTGTTTGTAAACATGATTATGTCCCAGCCATCAAAACAGAGATCATAGGATTGAGAAAGGAGATCTGTACAAAACCATACTTTAGATAAGTGGGTATTGTTGTTGGCGCCTTTGCCACATAATGGCAGGGAGTATTGGGCTTCCAACATGGGGTCATTGGTGCTCCAGTTGTCTCAGGTGCCACAATTCACTGTACAGAGATGCAACCCGTAGGTGTGCCAGAAACGTGATCATGGGTTCGCATCCCAGATTTACCATGAGTTGGGTTCTACATTTGTCAGCACCAAACCCTTGCTGGTAGCTTTCACCAAGGTGGGAAACATCCACGAGCCGAGTCCTTCCACACCGAGCTGACACACCATGATATATGCTACTCCAATTTTGATAGTGATATTTTTATCTCTCCATGATTTCACAGAACTTGATTCTCATATGTCAAGTGTACATTTAGATAGAATGACATGTCTGATTATCCATATCAAAAGTTAAGCTGTATCGCAAAAATATTGCTTAAGCAGCTTTTTCAAACCAACACCCTACCCATGTGAAGAACTGAACCAGGGTCTTTGGCGGGAGGAGTGAAGTCTATATAAAGTATATACATATATAGTCAATGATATCTTTTATTACACAACACATTTCATTCTTCCAAAATTAGATAAGAAACTTCCTGATGCTGATTTGTGGAATAGAGCTGGCTAGACTTGTTTCAATATAAATCTATATTGGTTGTGTTTTCATAAAAAAACATACATTCCAGTGTCATGGTGCAGGAGCTAAACCTGGACATTCTTGATGTACATGTAATTTAAAAATATGGATTCATTTGGAACATCAAGTCTCATTTTTTTCTATTAAATCCTAAGCAAATGAAACTAACTGACAACATTATGATTTCAGGAGTAAAAAAATATGTCGAAAAGATCGACATACAATGAAGGAAGAAATAAAAAAATTACGAGAGAAATGGAGGAAGCTGAGGTCCGAGCTGAAGCGTCAAAGAGGAATCGCAAAGAAATTGAGACAAGAAGCAAGGAAAAAGAATCCCTCCAGAGTTTTGAAAATTGACCGAGAATCTATGTTTGAAGAAGATGACTTGGATAAAAAGTCCTCTAAGCCCAAGCAGTCCTCAAGGAGGAGGTTTCGGCGAGCAGCGACGGCAAAGCCCAACCGACTGTGGGACTATGGAGTCATACCCTATGAAATTGAGTCCAATTTTACTGGTGAGTAAACTATTTTAAAAATAATAGAAATGAAAAAGATGAATAAATAAAAGAAACAAAAGTATTTCCATGGTCATAAGTCCATTGAAAGATTCCGATTATCAGGGCTTAAAAGAATCTTCAATCCCTAGTGAGTCAGGACTTATTACTATATTTTGTCAGGAGTCAAAACTGATTTCAAGCAAGTCCAGTTCCAAAGGTATAAATTCAAAAATAATATTTCAAATTTAAAGTACCGAATCACTAGTAATCCCAAAATTAAACAAACTCATTTTGACATTCAGAAATACAAATCTGCACGTGGGTAATACAAAAACTATTTCGCGTGGACACACATGACAAATGACAGACTGTTATTAATTATTCTTCACCAAAACACAATTATCATGATCACCAATAACACAGCTAATTGTTTTAAGTATAATGTTAAATAAACTACAAACATTTTGATCTTTTATATAGAATAACATATTTTGATTCTATTTATGATACTGATCATCCCAATTTACATTCACACTTTTTATTCAACCTCACTGGCGATTGGCTATCAGTGAGCAACATCAGTTATTCATTCTCATAGGATGTTGTGGCAACATGGTTAATCAAGAGGACAAGCCACGTTGTTGGTTTGTTAAATGTAGAAACCACTCGGTGCTAATGTTGTGAACAATAAAAGAAGCAAGATTGTCTGCACTTTTCGATGGTGTAAGCTTGGCCATGGAAACACATATGTCTTTAAAATAAGTCATCAGACTTTTAACCTATCATTTTAATGAGTCCATGTCTAATTTTGATGCGCCAGGACGTCAGACATCCTCTTTTTAACCCCTGATTACATCTGGAGCATGTGTTAATGAATCACATGTATATGTTCGAAAAACAATTGTATCAGTGATAGGGTTCTTTTGGAGAGGGGAACATTATAATCACTGAGGATAACTATTCAGGCCACAATTTGTGTAACTTTGACAAGAAAACATTGATTTTAAAGTTTGCTGTATCAGAAAAAGTTAGTTTGCGATAAAACATTTATCAACTTGTTTGAATAAGGATCAATTTCATAAAACTTCTTATGTTTTTGTCATTATTAAAAAAATGAATTTTTATCTAGCATCGATCCTTTGTATTGGTGTTAAGCTTGTTTAATATGGTAAGTTGATATTGGATCAGTCAGTATGTCAAACAGTGCCGACGTACACACAAACACGTGACCTACATAGCCCACAACAGCATTTGAAAAACACAAACACAATTCCTACTTCACCACATCATACAGATTCATCATATGTCAAAGCATGAACCATGTTGTGCTTGCTGTTGCAGTTTCTTTAATGCCAAATATAATCCACATGAAATATATTATCAGAATTGGTGTCAGTTTCCAATTGCCTTCAAGATCGGAAACCTTGAGCTACAGTTTCCTGTAAGGCAGAGCACTGTTTGGCAAATATTACATATTTTATATGCCTATCTCGCTAACTTGACAGACACAGAAGTCAGAGTTGAAACTCTTTTACAAGATTGAGTTTTGTTGGAGAATCTCGGAGATAAATCTGCCGGCACTCTGCAAGCTCCAGTGGGATGCAGCAGGTTGTGTGATATTTGGCAACGAAATTGTCATGAAAAAGCTGAACCTTAAATTGCCTGACAAAATGTAAACTGTTCAGGTTTAAAAGGAATTACGTTTCAGTAAATAGGATAGCTCTCTGCAAAAAGGGGACGTTTTTCAAGGAATGATAGACATGGTTAAGTGCCGAAATAACTTTGCAAGTTTGTTTTACATTATAGAAAAATCTGATTTAAAGCTCCCACAGTGTCAGAATTTGTTGCTTCTTTGGAAATAATTAGTGTCTTGTAATTTTTGATGTATGGAGCTTTTAGATAAAGAATTGAAGTAATATGTTTTGTCATCTGCTCACAAGTTGGAAGCACAATGGGCTAGTTGTGTCAAATTCAGGAATTCTCAGGCACTGAAAAAAGCAAACAGTGTTAACATGTATTTTATCAACAAAATTTCAGTATGCAAGAAAAAGTGACAAAAGTGAATAACGTTAAGCAGAATTATTTCTAAGGACATTTTTTCCATTTTTTGCATAATTTCCTCCAAGTCTGTCAACTCAGAAATAACAAGGCTTATTTTACAGCATATCAATTTTCAAGTCTGCTTATGAAAATGTCCTTGCAAGGTGTATATGCTGAAAACGTAGCATTACCTGAATATTTCATGCCCAAAATGCAGATCGAATTGCAAACAGTATGTTCAGTGTTCTGATATGGACACTGGGAGTTGTAGAGAAGCCTTCATACCCCAGGGATTTTATGGTGAAATATGTGTCGACAGAACTATTACAATGTCAAGAATGAGACTTTCAAAACTTAAGTATCCATTGGTAGGGCTACCATCAGGTAATGGTTTGAACACATAAATTTGCCTCCGAATCAACCTCCCCACGATGTTTCCACTCTGCATGTTTTTTAAGGAATTGTTCCTGTGTAGAAGTTTTGAAAATTCAGCAAATATATGTACATTTTATTGTCATTTTGTTTATGCATTGACTCTTAAGATCACAGGCCCCACTAATCATGTATGTTATCAATGTACCAATGTACAAGAGAAGGCCATCCAATGTCAGATATCTATAATATTGAGATATATTTTGTTTAAATGTATTACTGTGTGATCAGTTAAGGTGGATTAACTGTCGGACTGCTTGAAATAAAATAATAAATGTAAGAACAGTTGTCAGGTTGACTTGAGATTAAGTGGCTAAAATATTTCTAGAAATTAATATTATAACAATTAATAATTATGATAGGCATATTTTCAATTAAAAACAGCATTTAAGTTTTTAGGAAAGCCTCATCAATAATTGTTTGACCACAATATGTGTTCATGTATGAAATAATTCTACTGTCATCATTTGTCCTAAAAATTCCCAAATTTGAGTTATAAATGTCCCAACTGTTATTATAATCTGTAATACCAGATACGTTTAGGTTTGCAAAGGCGACTTATGTTCACTTGACAACAGGGCCAATTAATTATATTGCGTTTAACATTATTGCTTTGATTGCAATGATATGATACCTGTGAAAACAAGATTTTTCGTTGTGTTACCATTTTTAAAATTAACTCTCATATTTTTCCCAAATGCCTTCCTTGGCACTTACAGTAGGTGAAAATCATAGATCCCTGTAAACTAATGTTATGTTCCTTGTGTAGGTGCCAACAAGGCGTTGTTCAAACTGGCCATGCGACACTGGGAGAACTACACATGCATCACCTTCATAGAGAAAAGGGCGGAGGATCAGGACTACATTAAGTTCACAGAACGCTCTTGTGGGTAAGTGCACACCTCCCTCAACCTTCAGCATACTTACACCATATTCTAGTGGGTAGAGCATCTATCCGGAGAGCAGAATGTTGGTGGTTCAATCCCGGCCATGTCATACCAAAAGAAGGTACTTATTCTTAACCTGCCTGGCGCTCGTCTTTAAGGGGATAAAACAAGGACTGGTTGGCTCAGAGTCAGTATTAATCTATGTGAGTCGGGTAGCCATGTTAAAAAGCGCTCACACATTGTTATATAAGTGCAATAATCTTGAACCCCATTTCACCTCACCTCACCTCACCTCACCTCTTGACTTGGGGGGTATGGATGGCTCTGTGGTTGTTAAAATTCACTGTTCCGAGTTCCGTCTAAGTCATCTGTTTATTGTGGGTTTGAATTCGAGACTTGCCCTGCTTATGATCCTTGGCTTCTTGATGGTTCCACCAAAGAGGCAAACGTCTGTGACTGGTGTCATGTTGGGCTTCCATCTCACATCATGCTGGCATGCCTGATGCATCTGAAATACTGTGGTTGAAAGTGGCGTGAAATGCCTTCTACGTTGTATCTACAGTACAATAGTGTATAGTTAATGTTTAAGGGGGAATGGTCAAAAGCCCTCATTGATGAACAGTTTCCAGTTAAGAATTTACCAAATTGAATAAGTGTTCCTTGTTTATTTTTCACTTAATGGAAATTTTGTAATATGACAAACACTCCTAGTAGAAGACATGGAGATGGAAGGAAAGGTAGGATGTATTTTGTTCCCGCCACAACAAATTGGCAGAAAGAAATTAATTGCCTTGAAGCCCCTCCTTCCCCATCTCTTCATACCCCCCTTCTCCTCACATCTCCCCCTCCTCTCTAGGCCCCTATCATCGATGACCACATATGCAGTCAATTAGTCTGTCTTGAGGCTGAGCCAGTTGGCTTGTCCTGTAAACTATAACAGACAAATTAGCAGGGGTCATTGCTGGGAGGCAGAGATTTGTATACACTTTCTGGCTCACATAATGAGCTTGTTTGTTGTCTCATTGAATTTACTGCCAATTATGCCAGCACTGGTTCTCTAGGGTAGTTGTTCCTAGATACAGAACTATGACTTGGAGGGAAAGGAGAGCTGCTCCAGCATAAGGTTCCTCTACAACAGCTTTGATGTTTTGTGAAAGGCATACATGCATGCACATAATGTCTTCTGTGTGGTTTATGATATTTTGGTAGGGTTAAATCATTTTGTTATATAAGGTTTCAAAGGAATTATTTTGAAATTTGTGGTCTATTATAAACTTCCAAAGAAGTGTGGAGGGTAGTGGTTAAGCTAATTGTCAAACTGTAGACATTGGTCGATCCCTAGACTGACACTCAGTCTCTGAACAGATATAATTTTGATAGAAACAAGAAACTACATTTAATTTGAAAAGGAGCCCCATTGAGATGGGAGTTTCGGAACCTGTGGAAAGTCTAGAATAGCTTCATTACTGTGAGGGCTGGGCGAAAGTTAAATAATATTGTTCAGGAACAGTGAGGCAGACTAGTCGATCCCCGTCAGTGGAATAATGTGCAAAGAGCCGTGTTCCTGCCATGATGTCAGTGTTAGAAATTGGCACTAGTCCTGTAGCCCTTGCCTAACTGCCCAAAATTTCGGTATCATAAGGACCGGTAGCAATTGGCCATTTTTAAGGGGTTTATCATTAGTGGACTACAAATGTTAGTTTCTACCACTGGATATGACTACAATATAACTGAGAGACATATACAACCATACTCACTGAACTAATATCATGTTTGTCATTATAAGCTGTTCTCGAATGGCTCCTTGATACAGAGAAGGACAGGATCCATGCATAATACATTTGTTATGGCTGTATAGGTTTCTTGATGAACTGGCCAAAGGTGCATTGGAATGTTATGACCTTTTCCATGACCTTTCAAGGTTAAGAAATGTACATTATTACATTCCACTGCAAAGTACTACAGTGTCTATTTTCCTGTTAGGGTTGTCAATACTTTATGGTCTGGTGGATTCCCTACTATACCCTTGTCAGCAGAGATTACAAAGGAGCCATTAAATAATTCACTTAGAATGCAATGGTGAGGATGTCCCTTCTCTGGTGATGAAAATGATTATGATAAGGAGGAAAAGTGTTCTGTTGTGCTGATGGTGACAGAAAAATAACATATAGATGGTTTAATGGTGATGATGATGAGGAGGAGGATGGTGGTGATGATGGTTTGGAGGATGGTGATGATGAGAAGGAGGTTAAGGATTGTGATGAGGATGGTGGTTATGAAGATGGTGATGATGGTGGTGGTGGTGACGATGATGATGATGATGGTGATGATGTTGGTGGTGGTGGTGGTGGTGATGGTGGTGGTGATGATGGTGGTGGTGGTGGTGATGTTGGTGATGATGATGGTGGTGATGGTGGTGGTGGTGGTGGTGGTGGTGGTGATGTTGGTGATGATGATGGTGGTGGTGATGGTTGTGGTGGTGGTGATGGTGGTGGTGGTGATGGTAGTGGTGGTGATGGTGGTGATGGTAGTGGTGGTGATGTTGGTGATGATGATGGTGGTGGTGGTGGTGGTGATGTTGGTGATGATGATGGTGGTGGTGATGGTTGTGGTGGTGGTGATGGTGGTGGTGGTGATGGTAGTGGTGGTGATGGTGGTGATGGTAGTGGTGGTGATGTTGGTGATGATGATGGTGGTGGTGGTGGTGGTGATGTTGGTGATGATGTTGGTGATGATGATGGTGGTGGTGGTGGTGATGATGGTGGTGGTGGTGATGATGGTGGTGGTGGTGGTGGTGGTGATGATGATGGTGTTGGTGGTGGTGGTATTGATAAGGATAATGATGGTTCATGATGGTTAGGAGGATGGTGATCATTATGATGATGACAAGGAAGGGACCATGGTGAGGAGATGGAGTGATATTGGTGTTTCATATGTGGTGGGAATTATGATGATTATTATGAAACTGAAACTGATGCTGATGGTTGTTATCTATGTTTCAGATGTTGTTCCTTCGTAGGAAAACGTGGCAACGGCCCTCAAGCTATATCCATTGGCAAGAACTGTGACAAGTTTGGTATTGTCGTTCATGAGCTGGGTCATGTGATCGGGTTCTGGCATGAACACACACGGCCTGATCGTGACAATCACGTACAGATCAACTATAATCATATCATGCCAGGTATGTTGTCTTAGTTTATACACCTCCATGGTGTGATATGATGTGCTCCACATAATGCATATTGGTGGTACCGTTCAACACCAGTTATGTACAAAAAATTGTGTAGATTGATGCTCATGATGTCAATTGCTGGATTTTATATTCAAGACTAGATTATTTACATACCACCATCATAAAGCTAGTTTATTGCTGAAAAACAAATAAAAACAGTGTACCCATTTACTATAGAAAGCTGAGATATGAAATAGATATATTTTGGCATGTTTCCAGACCAAAATAAAGGCTGATAGCCAGAAAGATGCAGTCACATCAAACCAACAGCAACATTTACAAAGTTAACCAAGCATTGTAATATTACTGTAATCGTACAACCCTGTGTAAACCTAAACAGCCCAGGGGACATCTATGTGGTGTCATTAAAGTGTTTTGAGTTACAATGGTGTAAGTATGTCATGTTACAGGCCAGGAATACAACTTCAACAAGCTGACACCGAGCGAAGTGAACTCTCTCGGCGAGGAGTACGACTACGGCAGCATCATGCACTATGCTCGCAACACATTTGCCCGTAACACGTACCTGGACACGATATTGCCAAGCAGAAAGCCGGGAGTGCTGGTGCGGCCAGAGATTGGACAGAGGGTACGACTCAGTCCTGGGGACATCCGACAAGCAAACAAACTCTACAGATGTCCCAGTACGTATACTGACACAAATTATTATCACTTACTTCAAGAAGACTGAATTGCATATGTACATGTTTTACTTAATGTGGAGATCATGTACTGATAGCGTGGATCATTGCAAATGCTGTCAAACAAAAAAATGTAAAACCTAATTATTATTCATAGGGGCGGTCGGGTAGCCTAGTGGTTAAAGTGTTCGCTCGTCACGCCGAAGACCCGGGTTAGATTCCCGACATGGGTAAAATGTGTGAAGCCCATTTCTGGTGTCCCCCGCCGTGATATTGCTGGAATATTGCTAAAAGCGGCGTAAAACAAACTCACTCACTCACTCACTAATATTATTTAGCTTGCTGCCAATCACTGCAATTTTATGTCACCTTTTAAATATGATGAAATGTATTATGTACACAGATATTAAAATAAAAAGGTTTTAAAAAAAGGACAAAAAATACAACTGAAGCAATGTTTTGAAGTAGATTTCAGTGTAATTCAGTGTAGACTTGTCAATAAAGCAAGATCAATTGCCCTTTCAGCAATACTGGCTCTGTATGTGCCTCTACAACAACACATTCAGGATGAATAGAGAGATTGCATCTGAAGTAATATTCCACAATACATAAACACATATTCAGCAAAAAAACACAATGCTAATGGTTAAGACAGATGAAAGGGAATAGACAACTTGAAATGTACGTCCATGCTCCCTGCATATGATTATATACAGGTATGAATAGCGCCATTGTTGTAGACAGGTGTTAGAGTGCAGATACTGAACCCTGGCAATACAATACAAGGTTCACAAAATGAGTAATAAGCCCCAAATAATGGCGTTTTTTTCCACTGACTGAAAAACGTGTAATTGACTATTTGTAAGTGAACTTGAAGTAGCACTCCTGGTTTAAGAACCCTATTTCATTCATAAAGGTAATGTAAATAAACCCGAATAATCATTAAAACAGCTGCACTTAAAGATTTCTTCTTCAAATGTTGATATAGCCTTAATATTTTTTTTACAACTATTCATTTAGTGTAGGTAAATATTCTGTTATGCTTATGATGCATTTTTGATTTCATTCACAAGGTCTTAGCATGCGGGAAGGGGTCTGTGTCTGATTCTAATAGTTTTTTGTAAAATTTAAATAGCTGAATCATGTTTTGATGTTTTTTTTGTCCTGTGGTTAAAATGACATTGATAAATGCATGTGCAGCTTGCTATTGACGAAGCACCACCTGGGATGCATGAACATGATTTATGCTGTAGGTCCCCACCATCAACCTGTTTGGGCAGCACGCAATCGTGTTATCACATCACAAGCAGTCAGGCAGTAGATCAGGGCTGTTTAAATAAGACACTCCTCCCACTTGTTTTTTAACCATATTCAACTGTTTATGATGTTTGTATTTTAAGTGATGTTTAATTTACAAGTTTATTCAAGTCAAACAGCAGGAGATGTATGTCAGACATACATTGCTCTTTGCTCCTTGTAAAGTATGCATGGAAATTTGAAATGAGTTGCTAGTTTAACCCTAAACATAGCTATAGGACCTGAAGCTTTGCTGGTTTGCACGTTACTTTAGGCCTTATATTTGTTTGTTGGTTTACGAGACTGACTGACAGTAAACATTAAATTGAAAGTGTACTCTGCTTTACATTTAGGTGAAATGAAAAACCCTAGAGATTTTATCACTGTTGTTTGTAAGAAATGGTGCATAATAAAAATAATTATTCCAACAAAGTAACAATCAGTTATCTTTCGGTATCATTTTGTCATCATACTTCCATTATAGTGTGACCTTCAAGTTTGATTTTCATTCAGCAGTACTAATCTGAAAGTCGAAAATTTCATGTAAAAAATGTCAACCACCTATATTGAATATTAAGCCAAAACTTTTGAAAACTAACTCACAAAACGTTAGAGACCTCAGAAACATTTGTTCTTGAGACTTACTTCTTTATCAGGGTGTGGTAAGACAGGCATAACAGGAGAATTTGATGATAGGGACAAGATACATTTATTACCTTAATTTCACATTGAATGCATCAACCAGCTATTTGATCTGCAACAAAAATTAACTGTTAGTTAGTTCCTTAAAACAAATCAATAACCATTCTTAAAAAAATTCAAGAACATCTGAAACAGTTAATGTTGCCATTCAGTCACATTAGAAAACAGAAAAGGTTAGTCGGCATACCCTCACTTTGAAAAGAACAACTGATGAACAGGTTTTTAATTGCTGGGGTGTGATCTTGTTTCTGTGATTCTGATTCATAATAATTTATGATTTAAAATGGAACTACTGCTCATAAATACACATGCACAGCCTCGTCATTCTGATATACAAAACTCACAGTTTATCATGATGTTTGTCCAAACTGTACCAAGTTTCCCCCAAAATCAACCTCAGAGTATTGTATTCGTGTAATTTAGGGCTGGGACAGGTAACTTGGGTACTCGGGTACTCGAGTTGGGAGGGTACTGAGTCGGTGGGTACCCACAGAACTACCCGGACCTGTGGTTAGTCACATGATTATAAATTTTTAAATGGAAAAATTATCTAGAGCTCTATGTTTACACTATAAGTGACAAATATTCACATTTCTTTCTGACTATATAATCACACATTCATTCTGACTTTATATGTTTGCATAAAGATAAAACTTCAGTCAACTTCAGTGTATAGATATCCAGATCGGTTTATACGTGTATCTAAATACATTTTGACAGCAGTACGGTCAAACGTTTCCCAATCGGACATTTTGTACCAATCTCTTGAGACCTACAGCGGGTACCCAGGTAGGGTCAAGTAATAGGGGGGTAGGTACCCGGGTAGTAAATTTGGACTCGTCCTAGTGTAATTATGTGTACTGTTCAAAAGAAGTAAAAGAAAACCGATCCAATGGCACATTAGCTATAGTCAAATGAAAAAATCAGCTGAGTAGTATAGTTTTCACAACCCATGTTGTCCTCTGTCCATCAGAGTGTGGTCGCACGTTACAAGAATCAAGCGGCAAGTTCGCCCATAACCCTGTCACATCCAAGAGTAACCTGTGCCAGTGGAGGATCTCGGCTACCCACGGAGAGAAGATTGTCCTCAACATCACCAAGCTGGACATCCCCAAGTCCTACAACTGTGAGAAGGATTATCTGGAAGTGCGGGACGGATACTATGTCAAGTCTTCACTGCTTGGTGAGTTGTAGCATCATCCTTTTAACTTAGCATAGGTCATCAAAAAACAGGATGGTTCTCATCAGATTACCTCATAATGAAACTAGCAGCAATGGTGGCAGTGTTCAGGCAAGGAAAGATAACTTTAAAAAAACGAAACATGTTTATTTTTGTCAAAGTAGAAATTTCTAAAACTATTCTGACCATTACCAAACAGGTATATATGTCATTGTGGTAAATACATAAACATAAAATAATGCATGTGTCTGTACCCAAGTACCTTGGTCCGAATGTCCTGTGATCACTTGGTAATACATTTTGGAGTCATAAGCATTAAAATGGTGGTCCCAGCTTGGTGACCACTGTACCATGTAGTTAATAAAAAGTATGTGTGATGCATTATGCTTATTGCAGGGGTGTTGAAATGCCTTAATTTCCTACTTGCCCAAGGGCAAGTAAACTTAAAATTTCTACTTGCCCAGTATGATTTTCAACTTGCCCTGATAAATCAGAGAAATAAAGAACACAATTTTATCAACTGAAGCAAGAGCTTATGGGAAATGTGCAGAAAAGGAAAATGACAAGTCAGGTTCTCCATTTGCAGTAGACAAACACACGATGCATTTTCTAAGTTTCAATGTCAATACCACGGATTTCAGACTTGTCCGAGGGCAAATAGAGTAGATTTTCCCATTTACCCATTGTCTTACTTTCACGGGTCGGGCAGGTCGGGCAGGTCGGGCAGGTCGGGCATACTTATTGAACACCCGCGGCTTGTGTGAATCTAAACAGTGGATGAGTGAAGAGAATCTTACCTGGACTTTCAGAACATTCATTGTATTCTTATCGAGTAGAAATATCAGATAAATGTTGCATGCATACATCAATTTAATTAGTGTTTATCATTCAAATAATTCCCATGAAATTTGGTTCAATAATATCAGACAGTAAGTCTCACTGAAGGGGCCCTTTCCAAACATGTACCCATTGCAATCAAAGTTGTAGGCAAATTGAAGATTTGAATATACCAGTTTGAATATCATCCGAGGAATGATGTTGAGTGACCCGTGTTTGTGTGTTGTAGGTCGGTTCTGTGGTGACTTAGTGCCAGATACGCTGGTTTCCACGGACACCAGAATGTGGATTGAGTACAAGAGCAGCAAGAAAGAAGGCAAGGGTTTCCTGGCTGAGTATGAAGGTAGGTGCAGATGCTTTCCACATCTCAGAATGTTGTGTATCATCATCATCATCAGCAGCAGCAGCAGCAGCATCAAACATCTGTTCTAAAGATATCCAGATTTGATTATTTTGCAGGGCATGCCATATAGCTGGTATATTGCAGTATGCAGCATTTCCAAACACAAACAAACAAACATAAGACACCATTATAACAACCAGTAACCCCCTGCATATTGTGTCAGAGCTATGTTTTGTATAGATATTAAAACTAATGGCCATCCATATTATTATTCACTGGTCAAGTTTTCTGTCTTCAGCTATCTGTGGTGGAGAGATTGTCCGAGAATTTGAGGCTCACTTGACAAGTCCAAACTACCCTGATGACTATCGGCCAAATAAGGAGTGTGTCTGGAAGATCACAGTCCCTGAAACCTACTCTGTCGCTCTAAAGTTCCAGTCATTTGAGGTGAGCAAACAGACAACTCTAGTTTATCCACTTCCCTTCAGTGATGCTCATATAATATATGTGCTTGACGTAAGACTCAGGTTTGATGAATGTCATCGTATAATTCTGGTTAGTGCAGCATTAAACAACAAATATGTATTATATAGTTTAGCACTTTCTGTGACATCCCATGGGATTTCAGGGCAGAATAATCCCCAGTATCACGTCCTAAAGAACTGACTAACAATGGGTGATGCCATGTGACTGTGTGCATGACATCATACCCGAGGGTGCGTCATCATACCCAAGGGCACGTCATCGTACCCAAGGGCGCGTCATCCATCATACCTAAGGGCATCATCATACCCAAGGGCCTATCATCATTCCCAATGGTGTGTCATCATACCCAAGGGTGCGTCATCATACCCAAGTGCACGTCATCCATCATACCTGAGGGCGCCATCATACCCAAGGGCCTATCATCATCATGTCATTCTACCCGAGGGCATGTCATCGTATCCGAGGGCGTGTCATACCTGAGGACATGTCATTGTACCCAAGGGCGTGTCATCCATCATACCCGAGGGCGTCATCATACCCCAAAGCGTGTCATCCATTGTACATGAGGGCGTGTTATCCATCATACCCGAGGGCATGTCATTCATCATATCTGAGGTCGTGTCATCCATCATACCCTAGGGCGTGTCATTGTACCTGAGGGCGTGTCATTGTACCCGAGGGCGTGTCATCCATCATATCCGAGGGCATGTCATCCATCATACCCGAGGGCGTGTCATCCATCATACCCGAGGGCGTGTCATTGTACCCCAGGCATGTCATCCATCATACCCGAGGGCATGTCATCCATCATACCCGAGGGCGTGTCATCCATCATACCTGAGGACGTGTCATCCATCACACCCGAGGGCGTGTCATTGTACCCGAGGGCATGTCATCCATCATACCCGAGGGCGTGTCATTGTACCCAAGGGCGTGTCATCCATCATACCCGAGGGCGTGTCATTGTACCCGAATGCATGTCATCCATCATACCTGAGGGCGTGTCATCCATCATACCCAAGGGCGTGTCATTGTACCCGAGGGTGTGTCATCCATCAAACCCGAGCGTGTGTCATTGTACCTGAGGGCGTGTCATCCATCATACCCAAGGGTGTGTCATGGTACCTGAGGGTGTGTCATCCATCATACCCGAGGGCGTGTCACCCATCATACCCGAGGGCGTGTCACCCATCATACCCGAGGGCGTGTCATTGTACCCGAGGGTGTGTCATCCATCAAACCCGAGCGCGTGTCATTGTACCTGAGGGCGTGTCATCCATCATACCCGAGGGTGTCATGGTACCTGAGGGCGTGTCATCCGTCATACCCGAGGGCGTGTCATTCATCATATCTGAGGTCGTGTCATCCATCATACCCAAGGGCGTGTCACCCATCATACCCGAGGGCGTGTCACCATACCCGAAGGTGTGAATCTGTCAACCTCTGATCTGCCTAGTCTTCGTGGTTGTGGATTATTGCTGACAGCTTCATACAATGTTCAGACACTTGTATATCATGTCCCAGGGCTCACCCAGTCAATTAGGAGTTGCTTGCACACAATTACTCGTTAAAAAAAACCTAATAGAATACTGCGTGTTGTTGCCCAATGTAGCCTTTTTAGCTTACATACTGTATGTCTTCAGAGCTCTTTGTTTACTGATTGAGTTCAAGCATCACATGAATAATGCACAAAAGTGCTACGTCTCGTTTATTTTAACTGAGTCATGTCATGTGAGCTTATGCGACATGTGACACACTTGGGGCATCACTTGAATAGATGCAAATTAGAAGTCACCTGAAACAGGAGTTTACGCAGAATTATTTTTATAATGATCCAATTGTATTAAAAATAGCCAACAGACTGGACCCAAGGGAGTACAAATGTAATGCATACCCAAAGAAAACTATGAATAGCCATTATCATACCTCCATGTCAGAATGTTGAGATGTGATTGTTCACGTGATCTTCATAAAATACTATGTATCCCACCTGGGAGGGGGCCGCCTCCGTGGTCTAGTGGTAGAGCGTCCGCCCGGAGAGTGGAAGGTCCGGGGTTCGATCCCCGGCCGCGTCATACCAAAAGACGTTAAAAGATGGTACTTCTTGTTACCCTGTCTGGCGCTCGGCATTAGGGGCTAAAACAAGGACTGGTTGGCTCGGAGTCAGTATACTGTGTCTGAGTGGGGTATTCATGTTAAACTGCGGCATGGTATCTCAGTAAGCTAGCACTATAAATCGGCATCAGTCCAGACTAGTACAAGCAGCCACACACACACACACATGTACATGCACGTCGCTATATAAGTGCAATAATCTTGGACGCGACGTTAAACCCCATTTCACCTCACCTCACCACCTGGGAGGGAAATACATTTCTGAGCGGGAGAATTAATCCCTTGTACCCCACCATGAAGCAAATGGCCAAATGCTTTATCTGAGGCAACGAAAGGCACGTGACACAGCACAAGTTAACCTCAGATGAAACGAATCTTTGGGGGGTTCCTTCGGCAAGTGGTATAAAACCTTATAAGGGACACATAAACCACATGTACCCTCGTGATACTGCTACAACTTATAATGTGAATGATGACATGTGAATATATTACTAAATGGTTGAAAAATATCTGGAGCCCTGCCTTCCAAAGAAGCCATAGAAGTTTGTTGTTATGAAAATCATCAAAGGGGTGTTCAACCTTACTCACTTAAAAGTAAATAACTGTTCATGTTGGCATGACCCAGTTATGAGAGTTTTCAAGAAGGATGTACCAGCTTCAAGTGAAACAACATTGGCATTGTCTATCTCCTGTTGACTTACGTCGGATTATGTGGATGTTCTGTTATATTTTGTATTTGTTCATCAATGTGTATCGAACATCACTTGAAGATGAAACAAGCTTCAGTACATGCCATTGTTGTATCTATACGCAAACATCAAAGAACTATACATTGACATTTGTGAAGAACATGGTAAAATGAATTGACATTATGAAAATATGTCTGTGGTCAAAGTCTATTGTGTGTTCGGAGCATCTGCTAAAGTACACTTAGTGATGGGGAGCTACTCGGATGTCATGTTATCCTCACCCAGTCTTCGCTATGCTGAAATAGCAGATCAAATATGTCATATTGATTATTCATTTCAAAGAGAATTGTACCAGTTAAACTTAAGTTATCCTTGTTGATTGGAAATACCAATCCATTTCTACTCTGTATGTATATCGTTGCTGTTTTGAAAGATGACCCTTGTTAGCAAGAATTCAATTTGTTCTGTTTGTTTTTGCCTCCAACTTATACAAAGGATTTACAATAGAGGGGAGGACATGTGATGGTACTCCACTTTTGTTGCGATCTAACAAGTCCATTAATTATTCACTTTTATGGACATTCAGTTAAGTTCATTGCTATTGAAAATCATGTTTTATACCCAAGTTCTATTGATTATCTATTAAGCCACCTCGTTATCAAGCTTTTTGATTTTCTGCTGGAGAATTTGATTGTATTTCTTTCCTTCATTTTAGCCCATGATCAGTATAAATTCCTTGATGAGAAAATTAATTGTAATCTCTCAGTTCGGACCCAGAACAATAGTGCATAAATCATGCTCTTTTTTAACTAAAAATCAGGTTTCGGTAGTGAAAAGTAATTTGAAAGCTGCTCAACTGAGGAAATAATTTATGGTTCAATACAGAGTTCAAACCTAGTCCTAGTGACCTAGTTAGTGCTGTTATAAGAAAGTTGTAAGGATGATATTATTTTCATTTATATTTATGTTTGAGCATAAGGACTATCAGTTTATTTTAATAGTTTACTTGTACGACATGTAGTTATAAGGACTGTTAAGTGGAGTCCAAGGGTTCTTGAGACTTGCTGCTGTAGTATTTGAGTCAAGGGACAGTATAAATCTTTCAGTCTTTAAATAGTGTGAGGACAAGTACCCTTGACTTTCATGCTTAAATTTGAACAATGCTTAACAAATCAAACTTCTCGGAACATTTATTTTTTTCAACATTACCCTGATAAGACATTATTCTGAGAGGAAATGATGAATGCTATTGATGTGTCAGGGATTTGTCTTGGCCCCAAATCTGCACCAAATGTCTGTAATTATTCCTAATTTGAAATTAAACATTTCCTTGTTCAATACTGCTTTGGTCATAACGAATTTTATAGCTTTTTGAGGTCACTTGTAATTGACTGATAACAGGACCAATATAGAGTCAAACACCTCTGAAATTAGGAAGAACTTTTTTTAAATCCAAAGATTGAACAAAATAATGTTTTTTTCTCAATTTGCCAGTCAAGGGCACCTTGTTTGGAATCCTTGATAACTCCCTGTATATGTGGTAGACAGACATGGTAAAGTAACCTTCATACAGACATTGCTGTTACTAGGGTTGGCTATAATATTTGTTAATCAAGGAAGAGTATTTCTGCCACATCTGTTTTCCACAAAGACCTAATGATTCTGGTAACATACTGTTCTGTGTCTCCTGATGTTGAGGACCAACACAGCGCAGGTCTCAACCTTAGAGACACTTTTGATAGATCACATAGGGGATTATGTTGAAGTAAAATCAGTTTTGGTGGCTTCTTCAAATATGGTGTGAAACACTGAAGAAATCGTCGTCTTTAGATTGGTGAAGTTCTTTAAGTCATAGTAAGCAATAAAGCTGCAACATTAGAGGATGCTATTAGCTAGTGTTTCAGTGCTAATTAAAAGTCAGTTTCCTTCCACCTCCTCTGTAATTTACTGCTGAGAATATGCAGATCCACAGAATCAGTTTTCAGCTGGTGACTTTCTAAAGTTTGTTTAGCAGTCATTCACTCATGTCAAAGGTGAAGGACAAAAAGCATCAAAGGTCAAGGACAAATATATTATGCTGACAGAACAAACAATATCATCAACATAACTACCCACATTCATACCTATACAATTCAAAATGACATGACAGATTAACTATAGTTATATGAGAGAATACGGGGTCCTTCACTTTCTTGAGTAGTATACATTCAAGACAGGAGAGTGGGTTTCCTTAGAAAATAAATCATTGAAGGATATGAAGGAACAAGGTGAGATTTCATCTTCTTTGCACACACTTTAAAACAATACAGAAATTAATTTGTGAGCAAGAAAAGTGAACCTTCACCAGTAATCATGTCGTGTTCCAGGATGGGAAATCATTTGCCATGTTGGACACATCCCCTGAATGTAATTCTCTTAGCTCAACGTGGTATGATTACTCCATGGTCTGCGTTAGCTTTCAATTTACTGCTTTCTTCTTCTCATCAGCGTGTATAGGTTGAAGCTACTTTCTGAAGAGAAATGATGGAGGCTTTTTTTATTACATCTCCATCTATCCAACACCCCATGTTCTGTTTCAAATACCACACATCAAATAGAGTTAAAGGTACTGATTTGTTCAATTTGGCTCAGCCAAGCCCTTTAATTTCCCTCAACAGGGATCAAGAGATTCCTGGTAAAGAATATTAGGATTTTGTCTGACTTTTTTAGGAGGTTCTGATTAGTATGAATTTGATAAGAGATTGGGAATCACTATGGGGGAATTCTGTAGTTTCAGGGAGTAATGAAAGACATGATGAAGTAGGTTTTTTGGCTGAACAGCCAATCATGAAATGGGACTTGATGTGAGCATCATTTAGTGCGGAGACATGTGATTTAATAACTTCTCGTTAGTATGCTTATTTAATTTTATCAATTTGAATTAAACGAGTGTTGGACTTATTTTTAACATACTGTTTCCTGTGTATTAAATTTGTTCCTTGATTATTATTTTTTTATACTGATCGAAAGATTGCATTCAAATGAAAAACGTCTTTGTGAATTTACTGAATTTATGGGCTCCAGAGACAGATAACTATACATTAATTATAAAGATGTTTGATAATTATGTACAGTCAGTTAACTGTTGTAGAAAGTATGACATCATTGTGCATTTGATGGAGAGATTACCTGGTTATATTCATGACTGATGTATTTGTGCTTCAATTTTTTTTATGAAATTCACAACAGTACTGCTGTTGTAGTTGATATCATCCTGGAAAGGTAAATAGGTCCACAACAAATTAATGTTGAAAACAGATGACTGGTGTGTTGTTAAGATAAGTTCACTCTAATTTCCTGGTTGCATGCCTTTTATGAATAGTTTTCAAATTTGCATTTCATATATGTTTTTTAAATGGAAAGATGTTTGTTCTATTTCAGGAAGAAAGACGTTAAAACTTTGAAATTTAATATATTATTCACAAGATCAGTTTTACACACTCAATAACTCATTCACATTTGCTGGCTGTCGTTTCACAGTGGAACCCTCACCTTCTTTTGTCTGGTGGCCTGCATATGTTATGTAAAAAAAATCACAAGTAAATCAATGTCCATTACAAGGCGTTGTTTGTGTACCTGTTTAGGTGCTAAAGAACACTTGCCCTGTGAAACAAACAGGTTTCTTTTCTACAAATTTGTTTTATTTTTGAAGAAACAGAAACAACTTGTTCAAGATTAAAAGCTACTTTTTTGTGCAAAAGTTTCTACCATTTGACATGAGAATGAGGCAAAACAAATTGTTTTCTTGTTTACTTATTCACTTGATCATAAGTTACATACAAACCAGCTTATTTATTGTGATTGTATCCATGAAGATTCAGGTTAGGTAAGAATAGGTCATCAGAAACCCATAGGTAACTGTGCTTGTTGTAAGAGGCGACTAATGGGGTCGGGTGGCCTGGCTCGCTGACTTGATTGATGCATGTCATCGTATCTCAATTGCATGGATCGATGCTCTTGATGTCATTTACTGGATTGTCTGGTCCAGACTCGATTATTTACAGACCGCCATCATATAGCTGGAATATTGCTGAGTTCGGTATTAAACAACCAACAAACAAACCCATTGTGATTGATATTACCTCCCTGTATCGGTGCCACGGCATGAATTCCAGTTGTCTTTATGAAGATAGGCTTTGAGTAAAAACAAAGGTAAAAGCACATATTCTCAGTGGTAGTATATTCCTGTCAACAAGGTAATTGAATGTGGTATTTCACCTTTAAAATCCATGTGCTACCTTCCAGATTGAGAATCACGACAACTGTGTGTACGACTATCTCGAGGTACGTGACGGCCATGATAAGATGTCCACACTCATCGGGAAGTACTGTGGCTACAAGATCCCAGAAGACATCAAGTCAACCAGCAACAAGCTGTATGTCAAGTTCGTGTCAGATGGATCCGTACAGAAAGCTGGCTTTGCTGCAAGTTTTGTTAAAGGTATTTTGAAAAACTTATTTTGCTTTCAATTTCTTGTTTTTTTATTCAGAATAATAAACTTGCCTTTGCATGTATGTTGGGTGCCACCACTGGGGCAGGATATGCTGACCTTTTTGCAAACACCTGGTATCATCACTATTTGCTAAAGATTCATAAACACATGCTCATGATATAGTTGGAAATGTACGATAGACTCTGCTTCAAGCAGAGCTTTCTTCTGATTTTGGAAAAGATTTTGTCGCTTTTAAAAAAGATTATTATAAAATTTATTTCGGGTTGCTGCTTCAAGATTTATAATTGTTTTCTCTCAAAGGGGGATGCAGTGTATTAGGGAGGGAGGCAATTCTCAGCTCCCTGGGGTGAATACAACCCAAGCTGCCTTGTTTGTCTGATTGAGAATCAGTCAGTCAGGGCTGCTGTATATGACTAGGGTGTGACCCTACCCACCCAATCTCCGCTGTGATAGTAGCATCACACTGACCAACAGATAGACCCCCTCTTCCATCCGTTCTATCGGCACTGACCAGTGGATTAGCATTACATGAGCTAATTGCTCCCTGTATCTGTGAATGTGATTGCTCCATGAGGTGGTAGGCATGCTATTGATCTGATATCACTACTGGGCCGTGACCCAGCGGACCTCGGCAAGGGAAATCCATAGCACCGTACAAGAGAAAACAGGATGGCTTTTGATAATTGCTAAAATCAATTAATAAGGACGCCAGATACATTATTTGTCCTGTTTGCAAACATGTGTAGAGTTACTGCAGCCAACTTGAATCTTCCGAAGTGCTGCGGCTGGTGGACTGGTGCCGTAGTCGACATGTTAAATGTAGCATACAACCCACATCAGCGGGAGGGAGGGAGGGAGGGAGTTAAAATCTAAAGTCACATCGACATTTTTTCCAGCCATATAGTAACTTATAGGTTAATAATAAATACATTTAGACAATATAATACCTAGTGTCAAGGGACAGTAAAACAATGCGAGTATCACAAATTTATATTTAAACCTAGTGCATGAGTGGGAAGCTTGGAGACTTTTTTTTATCCAAAGGATAGTTTGTTCTCTTCCCAAGACTTACTTTTAGTTTTACTTTTAGTTGTTTTAAAAATATTTTTTTATCTTTGGTGGCAAAGGTACCTTTGACTTGTCATTGGAAACATTAATTTCATATATATTTACATGTTTTCACCGTAGAAGCTCATATTTTTTTTATTTTTTTTTCATTTTCATTTCATCTTACAACTTTCAGTTTTAGATAAGTCAAGTAATAAAAAAGGATAAATGGGAGACAATAAGACTACAAGAAAGGTAGCATTTTGATTGTCGAACTCAAGCAGGATCATTCACAATGGGGCCTTCAGCCTAAAAATTGTAACACTGCAGAATTACCCGTTAGAGATTCCCTCTGAATAATATCCACACTTACATTTGTGTGCATGAAAGAGATTTTATATGATCTACCATTGTAGATGATTTTCGTGACAAGTTTTCATAAAGAAGCGGGACACGTAAGAACTGTTCCTCCAACTGAATGCAGTGCTATGACTCTTCAGGGTTCATACCACTAGAGCAGCTTTATGGTTCAGAGATAAAAAAGGGATTTTGTCTGTTTAATCAGCAGTATTCATTAAACCACAAATCCCCTCAGAGTCTGCCCATTAATCTAAAACAATGTCAATCACAAACAATCATTCTAATTACTTGCAACAATTCTAATTAGGATTAAGAATATTTTGTAACTAACAAGGGAATGACAAGATGGCCATGTCTGGTAGGATGCTTATTGCATTAAACATGGTAATTATCAAATGAGAGATATTGCCAAAATTGATCATCCTAATCAATAGAGTGTCACAGTGTCATCTTTGATTGTTTTCAAGCAGACAGAAACATGGCAAGGCATGATGGTATTGATTGGTGAATTTTATAATTCCACGACGAGTTGGGTGCAAGACAGCCAGGCCGTTAGCCTGTATTCTATTCTATTAATGTTTTAGAGCATAATTTAAATGCATGATTGAAGTTCATCGAAATTTCTGCACTGGAATTTAAGGAAGTAGAATGCCATTGGGATATTCCTTTGTGCTATTGTAACTATTCTGCACCTTTAATGAGTGCGTTTCAGTGCTGGAATGGAATTTTTATTATCTTATGAGGCTCTATTAAGATAAAGTACGCTCAATTATTCATATTACTATAATAGAACTATGTGTTCATCCTAAGATTAGTGCATGTAAATAATTAATTTTGTTCTGTTAACATGATGAAGTATTGAGGAAGATACTGTTTTTGTCAGTGTATTTGAATTCAATGAAGGCGTTGTCTTTTAAATTATGTAAAGTGATTCAAATAGCCATTGTTTGAATGGAATCCTTTGTGTCGCATCATGGTGACAGTCACAGTTCTAAGCTGAGACTGAGGATGTTATCTACATCATCTTTCAACATTTGTACATCCTGCGTTTGAGGTTATGTAGACTAACATTAAGACCCAGAAATAAAGTTATCTTAATTAAAAATATATATCTTCAAAATAAAATATTAAAATCCAAATGGAGCCTGGACTTCTACAATGCTTAATTTGGGGCTACACCAAATTAGACTTGCCACAATATTTCAGACTTGAGTTGGATTCATTTTTTTAATTTATTCTCTATGGTCTGCGAGACAGACATGAGTTGGAGGTGAGGCTTGTGCTGATCAACATCAGCCAGAATAGAAATCTTTGATTGACCTCCTGACCTTCTGGGTTTTTAAAAAATATTTCTTTCATTGATTTTTGATTTTTGATACCTTGTTTCACGGATAACCCTTGATGTTACACTAGTAAACAAACAGTTGAGAAGGAAGAGTTTATCTTTTTAACATCCTTTATGTTTGTAAGTATTTAAAAACTCTTCAAGTTGTTTTATGAGGGAAATCGACTTCAAATAAACAATTATTGAGTTGTGTCATATTGTGGAAGAAACAGGTAAGTCAGGAGGTGTATGTAGAAACTGGTGTGCATACTGTGTAAATCAGGTTCTATGTTTAAAACTCCATAAACGCAAAAACACATTGAAGTGAATTCTTATTGATATATCATCAACAATGATAACTTCACAGACTGCTTAGTTAATAAATAACTCATACAAACCTGTAGACAACAGTACAGAATCGGTGACATCATTCAACACAACAATGATGCAAAACAAGCCCCGCCCTTTCTGTCATCAGCCAATCTGGAAATGGTAGTATGTTCAGGGGGATGGCCTAAATTGCTTTCGGCCTTTGAAGCATAAATGTGAAAACCATTGCTTGGTAAGCCAAGTAAATGCCACAAAATCACAAGCTTGATAACAGTGTTAGAACCTACACTGATACATCGCTCCTAATTGTAATAAAAAAGTTGTTCATCCATATATCTTATCCTTACTTGCCACAAAATTATTTGATATTTATTTGTTTATTATTATATGAACCCCGTTCGGGTGAGCTAACAAAAATAAGGACTTGTATTAATATGTATATACAACTGCTTTCTGTTCTCAGAATGCGAATTGTTGAATCACATTGCTATGATATTTGTCATTACAAGGACATATCATTTCAGAATACGACGAGTGTGCGACCGACGTTCATGGCTGCGACCACATCTGTGTGAACACCCTGGGAAGTTTCAAGTGCAAGTGTAGGATCGGCTACGAGCTTCATTCAGATGGAAAGAGATGTGAAGGTGACAATATTTATAGTATAAATGTCAATTAAGTGTGGTCAAATTCAGATGTAAGTTATTATGTCGTCAATTTTAATGTCAGTCTGTCTTAATTATCTTAAAACAATTGTTCGAATCTCATTATGGATGAATTTGCATCTATTTGTGATGCAGATTTCTTCTGTGGAATTGTAAATTTAGTAAAATCGAGTAATTGACACCTGTGAAATGTACAAATGTGTTTGAATTTAATTGTTGTAATGTGAGAGTGTTGTGATAAAGGCCAGCTAACCATATACTTCGGCAATGCAAATGTCAGTGTAAATTATCTTTTTAAAAAATGTTATGGAAAAGGCCAGAATATCACTTAAAACAAAAACAGCTTGTGTATGAGCAAATCATGCCCTGAAACACATGAAATGTCAGTTATTATGCCTGTGAAGTTTTATATTTAGAATAAACAAACCTTGAGTTGTCAAGAAACTAACCTATTACACAGAACTGATGAATATGAAATTTCAAGGATGTGTTACAATGAATGTATGTGACATTTTTTTTAAGATAACCATTTTTCACCTTGATTAAAAACATAAAAAGATTTGCAAAATATTAAGACTTGTTAGTCCAGCCAAAGTGTAACTCCGAAATTCCAGCCCAGTTGGGCAAGGGTGAAAACTGGACTTTTATGGTCAGTTAACGCCCTTGCCTCAGGAAGATGTATTGTTTGTGTTTCCTGACGACACTGATCTGTCTTTGGGTATTGTGTGTTTCCTGACAAAACTGATCTGTCTTTGGGTATTGTGTGTTTCCTGACAATACTGATCTGTCATTGGGTATTGTGTGTTTCCTGACAATACTGATCTGTCTTTGGGTATTGTGTGTTTCCTTACAACACTGATCTGTCTTTGGGTATTGTGTGTTTCCTTACAACACTGATCTGTCTTTGGGTATTGTGTGTTTACTGACAACACTGATCTGTCTTTGGGTATTGCTGACAATGGTGACCTGTCAATGTATATATTGTGTGTTACAGATGCATGTGGAGGTTACATTGACCAGGAGAACGGCACCATCCAGAGCCCCTCCTTCCCAGAACTGTATCCCCCCAACAAGAACTGTGTTTGGCAGATTGTGGCACCGGAACAGTACCGAATCATGCTCAACTTCTCCCACTTTGACCTGGAAGGAAACAATGTAAGTTTTATACATGGTTCCACCATCACTTCAAACTGCCAAACGGTTATGAAAATGGTGTCAATTTTGACATCTGTAAAAATATACAATGTCTTCATGAAACAGGAAACTACCTCCATAGTATATTGATAAAGGCTCAATATATGTTAAGGATATGTTGAGGATATGCAATCACCACATCGGCTATGGGGGACCAAAATATGTCTAATAAGTTTGAGAACTGTTGATAGTAGATAAGAAACAGTGTTCCTTGTAATATTTCCTCCTTATTTGAATATATATCATTTTTTATTGTGAGTATTATATGCTAAAACCTAACAGGGGGCACGGGTGACCCAGTCGTCTAAGGCACTTGGGCACGCCAGAAACCTATGATTGTGGGTTCGAATCCCGGTTCGCCCTGATTATGTTTCTAGGTTCGTGGGTTTCACCGAAGTGGGAAACGTCTGAGACCTGCATCACTGCAGACTTTCCTTCCAAATTAAGCTGACATGCCGTGATATAACTGGAATAATGTCAAAAGCGGCGTTAAACCCAACTCACTCACTCACTAAAACCTAAGATTATGTGTGTAAGGCAAGTTTACAGTGTATAGTTAAATTGTTGAAACCACATCAAGATGCCGCAGTGTTGGAAAATATAAACAAGGTTTTTTGAAAGTAGAAATGTGAAAAATAAAACCTCATCTTGTGGATGCCACAGAAACTCGATATGGAAAATAACTATCCTGGCTTTAAACAGGGACACAGCTGAATGAAATTGACAAGCGTTAATTTTAACTGTTAATAATTGATGTGCTTACCTTGATGAGTCACCAGTCAGACCGAACTGCTGAAACTCATGCATAACCGACATCCCAGCTGACATCCCACACCAGTCAGTTCTTCATAATTAATGTTATAGGGTATATGTGTTGGACATGAAACACTAGCAGTAAGTATCAGTCTGGCTCCACCTGTGTATCTAAGTTCACACTGAACCTTGTAAATATTGATTTGGATGTTATTGATAACAAATTCTTCAAAGTGTAATTTTTAATAAAAATCAATTTGGTTACATTAAACTTTAAAGCGTTCAAATATCAAAATGTGACCTTTAATGTTTAATGTTTAAATGCAGCATCTCATTGAGTCCCTGAAACACAGGTGGGTCAAGAGGGGAGGAGTGAATAGCCCAAACGCCTTCTTTTGAAATTCTCACCGCCTCTGTGGTCTAGAGGTAGAGCATCTCCTCAGAGAGCAGAAGGTCCGGGGTTCGATCCCCGGCCACGTCTTACCAAAAGACTTTAAAATATGGTACTTGTTGTTACCCTGCCTAGCATTCGGCATTAAGGGTACAGAACAAGGACTGGTCGGCTCAGAGTCAGTATACAGTGTCTTGAGTGGGGTATTCATGGTAAACTGTGGCATGGTATCTCAGTGGGCTAGCACTATAAAACTGGCATTAGTCCGGACTAATACAAGCAGCCTAACTCACATGTGCATGCACGTTGCTATATAAGTGCAATAATCTTGGAAACGATGTTAAACCCCATTTCACCTCACCTGAAAATCTCACAATGAAATTTCCATCCTAAGAAAATTGGAAAATACTATTTTGGATGCACCCTTTAAACTTTTGCCTTGATATTTAAGAAAATCATAATTCATGGCTGGAAGTATTAAATCAGTAATGTAGGGGTCGGATTAGGGTAAGGTTGCCTTAACCCAGGCCCAACATAAAGCACGAGTTACAGGTGGAAATCTTTCCAATGTCTATGGCGTGATGGCTTTCTTCGGCTTTTACACTGACAATGACATCACTGAAGTACTGTTGCATCACTCACTCACTCACTCACTCACTCACTCACTCACTCACTCACCCACACTCACTCACCCTCACTCACTCAGCCACACTCACTCACTCACTCACTCACTCACTCACTCACTCACTCACTCACTCACTCACTCACTCACTCACTCACTCACTCACTCACTCACTCACTCACCCACCCACCCACACTCACTCACTCACTCACCCACCCATCAACCCACTCAGACTCACTCACTCACTCACTCACTCACTCACTCACTCACCCACCCACCCACCCTCACTCACTCACTCACTCACCCACCCACCCACCCACCCACACTCACTCACTCACTCACTCACCCACCCATCAACCCACTCAGACTCACTCACTCACTCACTCACTCACTCACTCACTCACTCACCCACACTCACTCACTCACTCACTCACTCACTCACTCACTCACTCACTCACTCACCCACCCATCAACCCACTCAGTGTTAGAAAGTGAGAGACTTAGAAACTGACAAATTACATTATGTTTATAGAGAAAAATAAGGCAGGTTTAATGCCAAACAACTGTGTTTGTGAAATCAACAGTGATAATGTGAAAAGAGCATGACATTAACAGTTTCTATTTCAAACACATGTTATGATGACACAACTGAGTCATCGCTCTGAAAAAAACAATGCATGCTGGGTATTACCAGAGCAGACCTGTGTCCAACATGGATCAAAGCTTTTCATTAAACTAGAAGGTCAAGGTCTTATATAGCAGGACAAGATTAACATGCTCATATACATAACTGGCCACTTTTCATCCCTTTGTGTTAAAATGGAGGTGAAATGGGGATATTACACTTACATTGCGACGAAGTGTGTGTGTGTCTGTGTCTGTGTCCGTGTGATTGTGTCTGTGTGTGTCCGTGTCCGTGTCTGTGTGTGTGTGTGTGTCTGTGTGTGTGTCCATGTGTCTGTGTCTGTGTCCGTGTCCGTGTGTATATCTGTGTCTGTGTCCGTGTGTCTGTGTGTCTGTCTGTGTGTGTGTCCGTGTTCGTGTGTCTGTGTCCGTGTGTCTGTGTCTGTGTCCGTGTGTTTGTGTCTGTGTGTGTCCGTGTCTGTGTCTGTGTCCGTGTGTCTGTGTCTGTGTCCGTGTGTATATCTGTGTCCGTGTGTATATCTGTGTCTGTGTCCGTGTGTCTGTCTGTGTCTGTGTGTGTCCGTGTTCGTGTGTCTGTGTCTGTGTCCGTGTCTGTGTCTGTGTCCGTGTGTATATCTGTGTCTGTGTGTGTCCGTGTCCGTGTCTGTGTCCGTGTGTCTGTGTGTGTGTCTGTGTGTCCGTGTCTGTGTCTGTGTCTGTGTCTGTGTGTGTATCTGTGTGTGTGTGTCTGTGTATCTGTGTATGTGTGTCTGTGTCTGTGTATGTGTGTCTGTGTGTGTGTGTGTGTGTGTCTCTGTGTGTGTCTGTGTCTGTGTCCATCTGTGTGTCTGTCTGTGTGTGTGTCCGTGTCCGTGTGTGTGTCTGAGGGTGGGTGGCTGGCTGCTAGTATGAGTCCAAACTAATACCCTACTCAGATACAAATCTGCAGTTAAACATGGATACCTTGGGTTAAACAGAGGTGGGATAGACTAGTAGGTACAGCGTTTGGTCTTCACACTCATGACCTTGGTTTTACTGGTTGTCCACATGGGTCAGCACTTGTTAACCTGCAGTGCATGGATCTGCTACTTGCAGTTGAACTCTCACCCTCGACCTCTGGTCTGCCTGGTCCAAGGTACTGTACAGGGTCCAAGGTACTGTACAGGGTCCAAGGGACTGTACAGGGTCCAGGGTAGTATTGATATTCCCTCGTGGCGATTCTGTGTTAACATAGGTCCCCAGCAACCCGTGTTGTCGTAAGAGGTGACTTAATGTATCGGGTGGTCTCGCTTGGTGACTTGGTTCATTGCATGTCATCGTACCCCGACAGCATGGCAGGTGGCTCATAATCTGAATCAGTGGATTGTCTGGCTCTGACTCGATCAATTAAACATCATCATACGGCTGGAATGTTACTGGGTGCAGAGTTAATCAACAAAGTATTGATGTTGTTGCCACAATGGCATGAAACTCTCCGTCTATTCAGGTCCAATGTCTGTGTTCCAGCGTGACTGTGAGTACGACTCGGTGCGAGTCAGCAGCGGAGTGGGCAAAGAGTCCAAGCTCCATGGCGTTTATTGTGGTGCCTCCCTACCCACCACTGTCACCTCCGAGGTCAACACACTGAGGATAGAGTTCAATTCTGACAACTCAGTCCAGAAGTCTGGCTTCATGGCCAAATACATGACAGGTGAGCAAGCGTTTCTACGTCTAAAGACGACATCAGTCACTTTCCTAAATACTCTTTTTCAATCTTATCCTTTTTTATTCAATCATTAAACCAAACTAGCTATCATTTACAGCAAAACAATTTTAATATATAGAAAATGTGTAGAAAAAAAGACCACTCTTTAAACAAATTCAAAGAGAAATTTTAGAATTCTGTTCAATAACAAAAAAGATAGTGGTGATTCATTTAGGGGATTTATCTAAACCTGCGAAGAGGCCAATATTCGGCCCTCAGCAAATGATAGTGAAAGAAGTTCCCAATTGGTATAAAATTTTCCCATTTCTCAGAATTTACGAAAATAAGTACTTTAAAAAATTATCATTTTGAACAATATCACATTGTTTTTTTTATCTAGACAAGGATGAGTGTGCCGTGGAGAATGGCGGGTGCCAGCACATCTGCAAGAACACTGTGGGCTCCTACAAGTGTGCCTGCTACAACGGATTCACACTACACGAGAACCAGCATGACTGTAAAGAAGGTGGGCAAGCCATGTCTTGACTTGAGATTCTTCTGACAATAGATTTGGCATGATGCATAATGTCAAATATTGCTCAAATATTGCTCAAATCAACATAAAACGCAACTTACTCACTCACATGGTGTAATGTCTAAGTACGATGGAGGTCCATATCCAAGTTTTCAGCACACATTACATTTAGCCCCAGGATAATTCTCATAAAATAGCAACAAACATGATATAGATAACATAATACATTACTGTCTTGTTATTTTAACTTGATGTATAGTTTAGATGTAACTTTATGGAACCAACAGAATCAGCATTAGTAAAATTACCTAAATTGGACACTGATGTTGTATGAATATTAGGATCTGATTTTATATCACTGTTATAATTACATTTAGATGGCGACTTGGTGAATATGCAGGGCGCACCCAAACCCCTTTCAAATGTCAGAAAGCACTATATACCATGTTGTACATATGCAAGTTGAATCTTCAAGAAAAAACGTCTCCTTTTTAAGACATTTGGCATGCCAGGATATCATTCATGTAAATAAAAGAATGTTTTCACACCAAACACACTGCTGATGCAATGAGCACTTGTGTATGTACGCTTCACAACACATGTGAATGGCATTAAAAGTTACTTAAATAATGTCCGTCACGCTGAAAACTGCTGTCTGGAATTCCTTTATACCACTGGGATAACTTTGTTATGAAATTAACATATGTCCATTGCACAAGGTCAAGTGAAACAGATTTATGACCATTCAGCACACGTGCTGTTAACATCATGCATGGATGTTTCTTGCAGAATGATTTTAGATGTGTTTTAAGTTCAAACAAAAGATATTTAAAATTATCAAAAATGGCCCTACCTTGGTGTATTGTTTTTAGAGGAAAAGTGTCTCTATAAATAATATTGGATATTTTTACTTTGACAGACATGATCTTACTGAGAATGATTTTTGCTTTTACGAAACTGACATGTTTCACGACCATGTCCATAACATGAGATTATAACACATAAGAAAATGTATGAATTATACTGATACGTACTGGGAGCATGTTAAATAATTGAGGAGATCATTTGGTTTAGCCATCAGTCATAATGTCAGTTGTACTCGCAAGCTTTTGGGTTAACCATTTTTGGGTATGATGAGGTATGCGACATACGTTTTGTGATTTAATGCACAAGAGGGCAGGGGATATTGATCACTTTGTCCTTCATCATTTTAAGAATGTCAGTATTCCAAGAAAGTATTCCTGAAACTGTGCAAGTGTGAGTTCTAGGAACACTAGGTGTATCTGATGGAGCTTATGAGCTAAACAAGGTCTAGCCAAACAATCAGAAAGCCATTATAATACAATATTTATCCTCCAAACACACTTTGGACAGAAACATCCCTCCTTTTCTCTTTAGTTGTTGTTTGACAATCCTCGGCTGATGTTTACTTCCTTGATTGACAGGTGGCTGTCAACATGAGATCTCCGACCCCTACGGTGAAATCAGCAGCCCGAACTGGCCCAACTTCTACCCCAGTCGGAAAGACTGTGTGTGGCATTTCACAACGAAACCCGGCCACCGAATTAAGCTCACCTTCCATGACTTCGAGTTGGAGCCCCATCAGGAGTGCACGTACGACCACATCATCGTGTTCGATGGAGACGATAACAGCGCAAGAAGTCTGGGTAAATTCTGCGGGAGTAAACAACCAGATCCGATCACCTCCAGTGGGAATAGGATGTACATGGTGTTCTACTCGGATGCGTCAGTTCAACGCAAGGGATTCCATGCTGAACACGAATCAGGTGAGACAAGCCTCCAGCTTCGTTACAATGAGCTGTTGATGTTGGTTTGTGATTATGAGAAAACATTTTGGGAATGGATTTACGATTTTGTTTTAAAAAGAATTGAGAAAGTGTTTTGCATTTGAGGAAAACGATAACTTGTCCTATTTTTGTAATTTTATGATGGGTTGGTCTGCATTAACTTCATCTTGAGATGACTTGTGTTGAAAAATCCAGATGGTTTATGCTGTGATTGTGAACATGTTAAAAGTTTGTTTTTCTCACATGCTTTTCATCTTTTCTCCATGCAACCCAAGCCTGTACTAGGCAAGGGGAGATAATCTGATGGGTCATGACTACTTTGAAAGACAGATATTGGGATTTATGTATAAAGTGTTCTTTAATAAGCCCTAAGACAATGTAGGGATGTTGGATGTCCCAGTTACATTAATCCACCACATGCTTCCTCTTCTCTTGTAGTTTGTGGCGGTCACCTTGTTGCTACAAAAAACAATCAGAACCTGTTCTCACATGCCAAATATGGCGACCAGCACTACGACAATAGAGAGGAGTGTGAGTGGACGATCCAGGCCAGGGAGGGCTACCACATCAGGTTCCACTTCGTGGAGTTCGAGGTGGAGGAGGAGACAGACTGTGGGTGAGGAGGAGGGAAGGAGACATGGGGGATAAGGCTCACTGCGGGGAGGCTCACAGTGGTAGAGGCCACTGGGAGAGAGGCTCATAGGGGTGGAGGCTCATATGGGAGGAGGCTCATGTGAGAAGAGGCTCACTGTGAGAGAGGCTCATCAGTGGAGGCTCATCAGTGGAGGCTCATAGAGATCTGAATCACACAAATGAGCTTCCGACATTGTTCTCGTGTGAGATTGAAACCACTAATCTACTCCAGAGTCTAGTATCTCTGAGACAGACAGGGCAGGGCCAAATATTACAACACAAATTTCTTTAAAATCTTACTACTTCAATTGCAAAAGGCAAGGAAAGAAACCTCTTTCGTCTCTGTAATAGATATGTGATGAGTCTACATTACTCTTTATGAAACACCTAAATGTTTTGGTTTTGGTTTCAGCTACGACTCCATCGAGGTGTTTGACGGTGCCCATGACACAAGCCCCACCTTGGGCAGACACTGTGGTGCTACAGTGAGTAGTCCCTCTGTAATAAACACGCCTGTGTTACAAGTAATTCCTACATTCAGTCGTAAAACGAAATAAATGAGTCAGTGACCTGTTTACAGTCAATCCACTCAGTGAGTAAATAAGCTACAGTTAAACCAGTAGGGTTTGTATTATACCAGCTGATCATGATATGATCCAGAATTGATCATGGCCTCTTCATTAAAATGCTAACTGCTCAGGGCTTTCTACAGTGACCTTGTTGGTCCTTTGTTTGTGGAGGGAGACATGGGTCGTGTCGAAACGGCTGGCACTAGCCTGGGTTATTAGGCATTTTGGCATTTCGATGAACATCAGTGTGTGCTGTTTACGAAATGGTTAATAACAATCTAGATCTGCATAGGTCAAGGACTGCCAAGTTTCTGAAGTATTACATAAAAAAGTACTTACATAATGTATTATTGGAATTTCTGTCTGACATTATCTACACTTCATTGGCTTCATAATTTCACCTTATGAATCCTTTCCATCCTCATTACATCAAACCACAAGGACATTGCTCGTCCTGTCAACCACTGGATTACCTGACCTGGACTGAATTATATAAATAAAAGTGGCAAAAACCCTATCAAATCATATGAAATTTCCATTAAAAGCTGTGTCCATTGTACAAGTCCAGTTATGTCATGAGAATGTATCTATGAATCACTATCAAATAGTGATACATGTACCAGGTATTCGAAACATGGTGCGCATATCCTGTTCCACTGGGGGCACCTGTCACACACATGCAGAGGCAAGTCAATTGTTCCCTTGAAATAACCGGGAACATGTGGTACAAGTCAAAATAAGAATTGCATCAGACATTATTTTTGTCGCTGATGCGTCAAATTGGGAAATCCAGCTATCAGGATATAGCTGGGACATGGCTAACTGTTGAGCATAAAACAATATGCATTCTTTTATTTAATATTCCTTCCTTATCCAAATAGACTGCATGGGCATTGAATGAGGAAGATAGAAGTACATTTCATGACCCTCACAGATCTGGTAATAGGAAAAAGGGATATTAAAACTCATCATGCACAGGTTCAGTTCCCCACATGAGTATGAGTGTGTGAATCCTGTGTCTTGTGTCCCTTGCATATCGCAGGAACATTGCTAAAAAACTCTCTGAGTACATATTTGTATAAATTGCTTTACAGATCCCAGACGACATAATGTCATCAGGAGAGACGCTGATGATCCGCTTTAAGTCGGACGATACGCTCAACTCCAAGGGCTTCTTTGGAACTTACAGATTGGAGGATAACTCCAATACACAGACGTTCGACACTGTCAAAGAGTTGGAGACAGAGTTCCAGTGAGCCTGAACTGAAATAGTTCACCAACAATTTCTTGCCAGTTCGGCGCAAGCCTCGGCACCATCTTCCACCATTGTCATGGCAACAACACAACAGCTGATATTACAAAAAATAGGGCAGGGTTGGTGTCAGGAGTTGTCAAAATGAAGATGACAAACTATTTCTTCATGGATGTCTATGAGTTCAGTGCTAGCCATTTTAAGAGTGGAATCAAAATATTGGAATGGTAAGTTCCAAAACCATAGGTTCAGAGATGTGCGTCATTTAGAGTGTATGAATATTCATATGTGTTGTCTGTTGGTCTGGGTTCTCGGCTAGACAAACAGTCTGGCCGCCTGATTGGTGTAAAATTGGGACACACTTGGACGGACGCTCTCGTATAATACTCAAACACGCCTGCAGCTGAGTGACGAAATGGAGGAAGGAGTTGAAAATGGGACTTCATTTTAAGCAGAAGAGTGCTGTGAGAGTATGTTTATAGCTCAATACGTTTGTATATTGTCATCTGTATTTGTTATTGATGTTACCATGGTTACTGTGTACATAACATCAGAGCTGCTACCTGTGAAAGTCATCACGGCTTTACTGATCGGAAAATGGTTTACCCGATTTATACACAGGCCTTTAGCTTGAAATAAGTTCTGTGATTGTAGAGTTTTTGTACGGAGAGAATGTTTGATACTTTCGAGAAGAAAAACTCATATTTAATCAAGGCAGATTCGGATCAAGTTTATTGATTTGCTAAACAAAAAATGCATCAAAATGCTAATTTCATTTTGACCTGACTTTCACGGAATGGCACCCTTGTATATAGTAGGAGTCAGCAGGAAGCCTCTCTAACACAAACATTCAAAGGAACTTTGGACATGGTATGTTCAGAAATAATAAGGAACAAAAAATTATACACTTTTATATACATTTTTTTTCCAAAAAATAATTTTTTTAATTGTAAAACTAGTTTGCAAAGTTGTTTTTTTTTTAAAAAAGCAATAATTTTGTCTAAAAGCCAGGCTTTTGAAAAAAGCAGGTTAAGTATTAGATAACATCAGACAGTTATTTTCAACAAATGAGGGAGGGAGTCCATGTATGGCACGAGAGGGTTCATTTTATGTGATGGGGATAAATGTTTATTGTTTCACATCGAAAAGACAATGGTTGTGTCCAGGTCTTAAGACTTTGGGTGATTTTTGTGTTAGTGAGGCTTATTGTTAGTGTTTTGGTGCAATTTTGTGTATTCTGAGCATAATTTAGTATTTGACCAGCTCACAACCTCCATAGGATGTGAGCTTTAACAATATGGTGCTTGCCGAGTCTGCAGCAAACAGGTTTATCATTTAACTCATTTAAATGTTGTTGATGTTTTAGCATCTGTGAAACAGCAGCAGAACAGATTTTAATCTAAATCCTGACAAGGTTTTGGATATCTTCTGAACAGTGTGATATTTAAATTAGTGCTTTGTAAAACATTTTGTAATTTTCCATATTACATAAATGTGTGAGCTGAAATTTTATTTTAATGTTTTATGAACATGTTAAAACTGTATAGAAATGATTTTAACACACACAAATTCTAAATTTAAGTGAATTTTACAGATTTTATTGATGTAATTCAAATCTTCAAGAAGCATAAACATGAAATGAATGACATGCTTAGTCATTGTACATCATTCTATAACAATGATTTTTATATATTTTGATATTTGACGTTGGCTTATTTCAGTCTGTGTACAGAAGGAATACAAGTCAGAAACAATATCACTATATACAACTAAAGCAGGCAGGGCCTATTACTTAAGGATGGGAAAGGAAGCGACATGAGAAAAACTGAATTGTAAACAATCTCTGTACATGAAGGGGTCTCCACATAAAGTTTGTGCAATCTGTAGATATGTTTCATCATGTCACAAACATTAAGGGTCCAGCGTGGCAGAATCATGGCTACCAGGGTGCAGTCAAGTGTTGAATACTGTGGATCCATCTTTTTGGAAAATGTATCTGTGCATTTTTTTATTTAGCAATTCCTGTTGGGGAAAAGATATCACTTAACAATTACCTATAAAACTTCCAAATGTAAAAGAGTTTAGTATGTTTCAAAAAGAGGGATGTGCACCCCTGGATCCAACCCCCTGGATCCACGCCCCTGGATCCCCACCCCATGGATCCACGCCCCCAGATCCCCACACCCCCATCTCCGTCAGTCTGCAGTTCACAATCAGGAATCTTTCAAGAACTGAAGCTGTGAAGAATGATTACAAATGGGGATGCTTAATGTTGTGCTTGGTACATGACACACAAGCTGCCTTCTTCATGATACGAACAATAGGAACAAAGCTGTTTCATCAGCTTAAGCTGAGGTAACCGTATGTTTGCGCTGCTCCCGATAAACGTCCGTGATGTTAAAATGAAAATCGCTTATAGGTGGCAGCATAGAGATAATTACCACAGGTACATCCGTACCTGATGCTGAAACAGCTGAGAGGGGAAGGGTCGAATGAAGGAGGTGGCGGGCTAGCCCAGTAGTTCAGGTCATCACTCCTGGTTCAGTTCTGTGTGGGGGTACAGTGGGAAGTCAATTCTGGGGAGTCCCCATGGAGATAAGGCTGGCAATATTCTGAACATGGCATAATACCAACCTCACTCACTTGTTCCACAAGGATGGAATGGGGCATTGAATATTATTTTGTTCATTCATAACCTCCAAAGTACCATTTCTCATTTTCAACTTGGCATCAGTTATTTTTGGGGACATAGTTTGTTAGTGACGATTATTCTAAGGTAACCGATGTTACTTCTACAAAGTGAAGCACAAGGTCCATGGTGTCTGTTAGAGATTGAGAACTGCGATAGTCTTAGGGCTAAGATCGCTGTGAGCAGAGGTTCTCGAAAAGCAATCTTCGCTCTATGACCATTGTAAGTCTCTGATAGAGATTGAGAATTGCGATAGTCTTAGGGCTAACATCGCTGTGAGCAGAGGTTCTCGAAAAGCAATCTTCGCTCTATGACCATTGTAAGTCTCTGACAGAGATTGAGAATTGCGACAGTCTTAGGGCTAAGATCACTGAAAGCAATCTCTACGAATGTTGTATGGTTCTACAGTTTGCTTGGCACTTCTGAGAAGTTGACAGATGACAAGTAGACATAGGTTTATGAAAAACAACTTCTTTGTTATATTGTAATAGCAACGTTTCTGTATAGATCCTAATACCGTTATCAAGCAAGGAAATGTTGTTAAATACCGTACAGTATAGAAGTTGTTATCGATGAACCTTTGTCTATTTTGTAAGGTTCTGTTAAAGCATGGACGATGTGCCTCTCCCAGCACTGAGATCGCTTTAAGCAAAAAGCAATCTTGACGCTATGACTGTTAATGCTCTGTTAGAGAATGGAAATTGTGACAGTCTTAGCGCTGAGATTGCTGTAGGGAATGCTTCCACAAAGCAGTCTTAACGCTACTGTGTTGTCGAAGATTGTCATAGTGCTGTCTTTGTGAGACGGCCCTCAATAATCGACATGATGCTCCTTTGCCCGAGTCCGTGATAACGCCTTCTCCCATCATGCTGCTGCTGTACATTAGGTTTAGTCAGGGATGTAGCTCTATGGCAGTGATGTTGTCCGTGAGTGTTGTTTCATGTCCTTAGGGAAGCCTCATTTCTATTGGTTGTTGTACCATATGACTAATGTAGCAAGTTTTGTGATGGCAGATCGTTTTTAGACTACTTGTCTTCGTTTTACATTTGAAGCACTTTTGGATGTGAATTTACAGTTAAAAAAGTCGTATTTGATACCATCAATAAAACATGTACAGCGTTTTAACTTTGGTGTTGTGTTTTAATACTTTGACCATCTCCATGGCGTAGTGGATGGAGCATCTGCCCGGAGAGCTGGAGGTCAGCGGTTCGATCCCCTGACCACATTTAACCAAATGATGTTAAAAGATAGTACTTGTTACGCTGCCCGGCGCTGGTTGGCTCGGTGTCAGTATGTGTACTTCTACAACTTATGATGTAAGTGTGGGAACAATGATGCACCAGGATCTAGAGGAACACACAGGTCCACACCCCTGTGAGGATCCTGGTTAGAATTTGTCCCCAGCAATCTATGCTGGTCTTAAGAGGCGAACTTAATGGGTCCAGTGGTCAGATTCAGTGACTTTGTTGATGGCGTGGCATCTAACCCGACGGCGGGGATCATCTCTCAGTATAAATCACTGAATTGTATGCTCCAGCTTTGGTTATTTACAGGCTGCCATCATATAGATGGAATATTACGCACACAAAGTGACTGTCTGTGTCCATTAAAACTAATGTTATCATTCTACAATATATTCATAGATTTTATGTATGGAGTGATCAGTGTATCCTGACACAACTAAGGGAAGCAACTATGCACAGGACAACCTGGGCCCTGGGCTACTATAAGATATAACAAACGGGAAAAAAACATTTATGAAACAAATATAACATTATTATTTAGAAAGGCCGGTTTAAAAATATTAACAGTTAAGCAGATATATATATCGCATCAGTGAGAGGCTAGCTAATTGTGACAAAGGAATTCAAGTGTTTAGTGGCAGAATAGTTTACGAGAGGAGTCTTTGAGTGTACGTCCAAACAAATATCTGGCATTTAGTGATATTGATATCGAATTGAGATCTACACCTGACATGATAATCTTGTTCTCAGATATTCAAAAACTTGCAATTGTTTTTTCAAGAATCGGTTTATATAGGCCTTTTGGAGAGGGATTAAGAAAAAAACAGTTATTAACTCGAGGTGTTTGCAAGTACTTGTAAAACAGAAGCAGGCCCTTTCTCCACCATTTCCTCAGAGCAAACCGAAAAAAAGACTGAGCAGAGCAGCAAATCAAACTGGTTAATGCAACTCAAACACGGGTTCTTTGAGATCATGGGAACCATGGAAATGGATCCAGAGACTCGTATAGGTAACTGAATTGTGAGCCCTGGAGATATAGAGGATGGAGTACCTGGAAGTTAGAAAGAAAATCATGCTTGATTGCAGTACATACAGGAACAACTACAGCAATAGTCCAACTATATGACAGCAGTCTGTAAATAATGGTTTCTGACAAAACAATCCAGTGATTGACATTATGAGCATCGATCTACACAATTGGGATACGAAGACATGTACTAACCAGGTCATAAATGAGGATCAAGTGGAAACAGAATCTCACCCTCATGTCTTTTGATATCAATTACAACACTGCCATCCTTTTGGTGTGCAGGATTCCATGGCCAATTAGAGGATATTTGGGACTCGGCAGTGTGGTACGCATGATGCAAATATAATCGTATTTGGCATGCATATTCACATTTTTTTAAAACAATAAAGGCAAGTGGTGTGTAAACGTCACAATGATAATCTGCGAGGCCTTACCAAATTCGGATCTGCCATAAATTGTTAGTACCAGGTAATACCATATATTGAAAGAATCTTCATTTCTCATCTTGTTGCAACTGAATGAAAAATTTGCATTGATTGGCAATCCAGGATTTAGAAAACGGTTTGAGTATCTGTGCATATAATCCCCAAGTCATGAAGTTACTTGAGAAGGCACAGCTAACATGTAAGGTGTCTCAAAAAAGGGGCCATCTGTAATCCCTCCCCGATCCCCCCCCTCCCTTTGGACAAGATCACTCAGGTCCAAGATCAACACTTAAAACTTGGTCAGTACAGTGATAGTGGTGTAGTCAAAGGGGGACAACTCTGCCCGGTCAAGACAATAACATTTATCCTGATGCATAGAGCATCAACACTTTATACTGTGGTCCCTAATGAAATCCTGTCTGACAATTAAGGCATGCTAAGGTGAGGTGAGATGGTGTTTATCGATTATTACAACTTATATAGCGATGTGCGGTGTGGGTCTACAGGTCCAGATTAATGCCGTTTTATAGTGCCAACCCACTAAGATACCATGCCGCAGTTTAACATGACTACCCCGCTAACATACAATAAACTGACTGACCAGTCCAGACCAGATTTACACGATACAGATAGATCATAATGCACACTGCAAGAACAACTCCACTTAACATTGCTTTACCTGACTTCTACATGCTTTACCTGACTTTTGATCACCTATCCAGGATATACCATGTTGGGCGAGGCTTGTGAAGACTTAAGAATACCAGGTACTTAAATGTGTAATACATGTTACTAATGACCCTCGAATCATGAAATGGATGTATGCTACTCAAAAGAAGTTTAAGAACACCTGATTGTTTGGTAGGGTATTGCCACACACTACCGGTACCTTCCAACGTGTTGGTGTTCTTAACTTGTTTTGAGTGGTATACATCTCCATACATATTGGGGATTCAAAGGTCATTTCTAACAAAGAAACCAATGCATAACGTTCAATGCTCAAAGTTTGGGATGCTCTGTGACTTGCCCTGGTGTGGTGTGGTTTGGTGTGGTTTGGTGTGGTGTGGTGCATGCGTACGTGCAAGCATGCAGACTGATGCCGATTTTTAGTGCTAGCACACTGAGATACCATGTCACAGTTTAACATGAATACCCCCCTCAGAGTATTCTGACTGAGCCAACCAGTCTTTGTTTCAGCACCTAATGCCGAGCGCCAGACAGGGTCGCCACAAGTACCATCTTTTAACGTCTTTTGGTATGATGCTGCCAGGGATCCAACCCCGGACCTTCAACTCTACCAATAGACCCACGAAGGCAGTCTCCCTTGCTCCATCTTTCAATACATATATGGTATTAACCATATAAAACACTCCCTGACCAACTATATGACAGTCTGCTGTATTTCTTTGTGCATATTACAGATTTTTACAAATAACAGAGTGTAAGAGGGGCATTTATGATTGCAAGTAGTGAGTAAGTATGGTTTTACGCCGCTTTTAGCAATATTCCAGCAATATCACGGCGGAGGACACCAGAAAAAGGGTTCCACACATTGTACCAATGTCGGGAACCGAACCCGGGTCTTCGGCGTGACGAGCAAACGCTTTAACCACTAGGCTACCCGACCGCCCCTGATTGCAAGTAACTCTTACTGAAAACGTTTGAATTTCATCGATGTTTGAACTTACTTTTTTCCCCGAACTGCTCATTATCTAAAAACAAATTTCACTTGTGTATGGTTTTAATAAGCGCCACCTTTTTCAATTTTCTAGGTACAGGGTACGATGAATATGGTACAGCTGGTATATTGCCGATTGCAGCATTCTATAATATACTTCACTCCACAAGCATCCTGTACAACTATACTACTCAACTTTGATAGGGACAATCAGATATATCTATTTAAATATACACTTGACATATGAGAATCAAGTTTCGTGTATTATTTAAAGATAAATAATATAGCTATCAAAAGTGGAGTAGTACATATGTTCACCTTTCTTGTAAATTAGGATTACAAAAAACAACAATTCATCATATCTTACATTTTATTTTCTGCAATGTAGCTGAACACTTACATAGCAGATATCAGTAGAACCCATGAGTACTGATGCAACTTTCAGTGTGTAGCATGTCTGTACATAGCATGTCGAGATGAGACTACACCATGGTCCAAAAAAATATGTTGCACATTGCAACAGTCACCAAATTAGTTTTCAACCCTTCAGATATTATTGTACACTATAAACATGGTTGAATAATAATCCAAACGTTAAGAACCACTTAAAAAATAGGATATATGTACAGCTGATCATCTACCAAATTATTACATCTCTACATCAGCAACACGTGGAAAGAGATATGAAATGAGAAACGTCAATTTCATGTCAATTTCCGTAATACACAACTGAGCTGTTGAGGAAATACCATGCTGTTGTCAGAACAAACAGTATCAACACCCACGATATGACCAAAGGCCATATAAAATATGATGCCGTAATGAAGATTACACAGGTTCACAATAGCATACAAAGTGTGATCAACTGTCAACAACTGTGACAGCTATGTACAGGATGAATCAGATGCTATCAACGGTGATTCATCCCAATGGATTGGTCAGACATTCAACCACACATAATACCTCCCACTTACCCCATTCACTCTATGAACATAGGCCTCAGCTGAGATGGACATTAAATACATGATGCAATGTTGGGTTATGGGCACTGAATTAAATACACGCCAGCTAGTATTATGTACAGATCATGTGCATTGTTTGTACAAGTTAGAAAACTTAATAAAGAATATCTAAAAAATCAAAAAGGGTGGGTAATAGCAATTTGACCAGAGCTGATAAAACCAACTTTAATCGGACCATTTCAGGAGAACAAATGAGTTGTGTCAATTAGAATATCCAATGATTAAATGAAACGAACAAGGACTGACATCACAAACTGATCTCAGCTCTTCAGCTTCTGCAACTTAACTACAAGATGCGGCAGCAAACTAAGACAGCTCAGTGCAAGTAGGCCTGAATGTTTCAATACTGTGTACAAACTTCCAAGCCTGGATAGATTGATTTAGAAGTCAGTACTTATGTACACTTTGATGAGGGAGAGAGAAAACAAAATAGGTTGCTTCGTGAACAATATCGTGTAAGAAATGTCTTAGCATTGGGTAATTTGGGAACAGAATTTGTAAGCACATAAAAAGCATACTGTAAAAGAATGTTGTAAGCAGGGCAAGTACAACAGATCTTGGTCCAAGTCTAACAAAGTTTCATACCATACATTGTACCCTTGCACCAAACGCATGCAGGTCATGCAAGCAAGACAATTGAAAAGACGGCAAAACATACTGTCACTGCTAGCATAGGTAAATATTTCAACAAAACATTTCAACTAAAAATCATAAAATCATTGGAACTAGCCCTCAACAATCAAACATTACAAACAATTATTCCATTTCCAAAGGAACCGTTGTAATTCCATCCCCTATTTTCATAGTGTGTGCACACTAAGATACACAAACCTAGTTTATAGTCAACATTCTCTCTCACCTCTGAATTCACTTAGATGACCTCATCACATTGATCAGGTTTAGAAACTAATTTTTCACAACAACCTGTATCTATATTCTGCTACCATTAAATGTTCAGTTAGCAAGAACTTTTTCTACTACCCCTATCACAAATTTCTATCGCTTTTAATTAAATTCAAAATAAACATTCTCACATGTGCCCCAGGAAACTGAATCAAAATGATGGTAAAAAGTCAATACAGTTTTGAAGACTGCATACTTCATCATATGGTTCCTTGGGAACTGAAGAAATCTAGAATCTGTAATTTTCCAAAAATTGGACAGAAAAAACAAACATTTTACTCTTACATATCCTGACTTCTCCCCTTTATCTAAGATACATTAAGTGAGACAATGACTGTTTTCAAGTCTGTCCTGATAGTCACACAGAAACAATAACATTTGTATCCATCTCAGCACACATTTACTGGATCAGCTATCACAAAAACTTTACCTTCCACATCATAAAGCTTGGAGAATCTTCATGATATGTTGTATCACAGGATTTCAAAGTTTCATTCCTAAATATATCTTTGTTTCAATAAATAAATTTTCTTATGATTTTTACAAGCTTGCTAAGTAGATAGTTTAAATCTATATACATGTCTTGGTTTTTTTCTGTGGTTTTTATGTGAAACACTACTGCCAAGATTATAGAAATTATGTCAAAACCAACCAAAAGTAACAGCCAACAAAAACTAAAGCCAGTACACAACTATGAATCATCCCAATATTACAACCATCCCACCAACAGTCTACATATCCATGCATTTATTGTATTATGTGGCAGGAGTGATGGGATAATCCTCACAATGGCTCCCATGCATCAACCAGGCCCTTGTCAACAGCCAGTTGACACTAGCCAGCCTCCAATAAAGTGTCAACAACCATCAGCTGAATCTGTGCCCCATGTGGTTTCTCCAGTCCACTCACTCATCCGCTTGTGAAATCCAGACTTGTCTCTACTGACTAAAAGATGCTGTACGTGGCTCTCCACAGGCCTTTCTAAACCTCCCTCCCCGGTGCCAAGCTGTGTCGGTTGTTTGTCCACGGTACACACACTACGAGGTCGTGTTAGTCTATTTTCACTGTAGAATATATTTTCCTCACAAACTGGCTGGTTCCCACATAGCCGAAGGTTCCTGCAAATCATAATTAGGACTTGAATTACAATTCCTTTGTTACATTGCAAATTGTGACATTCCTACGTGTGATGCTTGAAAACAATGAATAACCAGCGTGTTCCTTTATTTCTAATACATTATACTTGTGGACAAATACGAGTTTAGTTTCACGACTTTCTGTTTACTCCATTGCATTGTGAGGATTAAGAAGTGTTTTATTTGTACAAAGGCCACTGGTCCATATACAGTACAAACATTTGAACTTGTGGTGCATGAAAATGAGGTAATGTCAGGTACAATTTTACAGCTTTACAGACTTATGTCTTCTTTCATAGCTGTTATACAGGTATTTACATAGTTTTCCATAGTTGTCTACATAGGGTTGACAGCATTATTAAAAATTCATAAGTCACGGACTTGTCATGGTGTGTTGAAATCCACACAAGCACAGGTATGGAAGGACAAAGCAAGATTTGAACCCATTATTGGATTCTGGCACGAAACTGCACAGCAAATTATAGCATCTCAATTATTGCTCCCTGTACCCCAACAAATTTCCACTTACCACACATTATCCCAAGGGCAATACTAAACAACGCCATGTACCCGAAGTAGAAGGCTGTTTGAAACAGCCCATACATTCTGCAACAGAAACAGAACAAGATCACAAACTCATCAGTGGAATAACATTAAAACCATCCTACTCCTAGTGCAATCAACCACAGTCCCACCAAGTCCACTTCTAGCACAATGTTGTTTTGCTCATCAAATCATGCAAAGTATATCATGTTATTTCTTAAAAAGGACAAGAAATATTTTTTTACCTAAACATTAATCAATCTTAGTGTGTATTTTGTTGTTTTAATTCATTTGCTACCTAATGTCGAAATTTCCCTATTTTGCCCTAACTCGGAAATCAAACTTAATGCAAGGACCTTTCCAATATTGATTTTTAAAGAGCATCTCCACAAAAGGAAACAAGAGTCATCAAAAGATGACAAATCTTCCAGCCCCCACAATAGCAAAGGTCTTCCACTAGTTAATATATGTACCAGGTTTGGATGAAATATCTTTCATGGTTTTCAAGCGAAATACGGACACACCAGATGATGCCTGGGTGCAAAAACATGTTTTATGTATCACCATACTTACTTTGTTTTGAAGAAGAAATAATAAAATGAGTAGAGATAGACGTATCCTGAAGTTGAAGCTGCAGCGAGGAAACTGGTCCACTGCCTGAAATACAAAACAGTTGTTCTGTTACATTACACATACTGGAATCAGCTGGACCATGTATGTTTGTAACTGCAGTACATACGTTCTGTGAGTGGGTATGGTTTTACGCCGCTTTTAGCAATAATCCAGCAATATCACAGCAGGGGACACCAGAAATGGGCTTCACACATTGTACCCATGTGGGAAATTGAACCCACCACCCTGTCAATACATTGACACTAAAGTTGAAGAACACATATCGGGAATGTGATCAGTGCATGCATGCATGCCTGTGTAGAAAACAAAACTTTCTCCCTGTTCAGCAATTATGTTGAAATCACTGATGAATCAGAAATCAGGGTTCAAATAAGTCATCATAACAGGGATAACTAACAAATAGTTTTCAATCACACTGCTAAATACTGAATTTATACATCCATATAAGAAGTTATACATCCATATGAACTTTATTTTAAGTTTTACCAGAAAAGAATGACATGATAAACAGCCATATATGGCTAAAGTGAAACAGTCATAATAACACAAGGTGGGTAACTAGTTCAATCATAAAATCTGATTATCTCCCTTATATCATAAGGTCCTTGGTAGCTTATTTGTTGTTTGACAAGGTACTAAGCAATATTTCAGCTATATGACGATTGTGTGGAAATAACCTTGTCTTGACCAAACAATCCAGTGATTGATCATGAGCATCAAACTACTCAATTGGGAAGAGATGACATGCTATGAACAAAGTCACCGCACCTGACCACCCTATCCCAGTAGTTACTGCTTATGACAAGCATGGGTTGTTCCAAGACCAATTCTAACCTACATATTCACAGGGGATCTTTCATTGCTTGAAACTCACCATCGATAGTCCTCCGCATTTAACAAGAAGTAAGTACACACGATGGTGACGCACACAGTCACGATGGCTAGTATGACGAACACAAGGAACATGAAGCCATACACGTAGTATATCTTGTAGGCCCAAAATGAGGTGAAAATAAAATACCTGAAGAGCAAAACAGAACATATAAAATCCAGCTCCACCCTAGACTCAACAGTACAGGCTGATCTCTGCATAAATCACCCCTCTCAGACCATAAGACTGATATCACTGACAGTCAGAAATCAGGGTTCTTCATGAAAGGGTGATGTATATGAGTTTTATAAAAAAAATTAGAGCAACTGTGCTGTAGCCCATGTAAATATGAAACCCAACAATTTCAAAATAAACACAGCCAAATATTTTTTGCATAAAGGTGATGAAGTCAACAGAGGCAAATATGTATTGAGAGAATTTAAGAGCATGGTCCATACAAGGTCAAACATACCCCAACATTTTGATCAATATTGACCAAATAATGAAACATCCACATCCAAACATTTATCCGAGTGTGTATAATTTAATGGTTTGAATATTGCTCAAAATGATGAAGTAACATGTGATGGGTGGGGATGTTGAGGCTTCAACACATGTGGGCTATCAAATCCAAAGTGTGCATGACATCCAAGAGAGGAATGGATATTCCATGATTCGTGCTTACTGTTCTGAATTACTGATGAACATTTTCTAAAAGGGTTACGACTCACATTTCAATAAATATAGAGCCAAATGGCAGCACCCCTCCAAGTACCACGATCACTCCGGGCTCCATGAACCTGACAACAGAACATGAGTGTAAAGAAATACATATACCAGATGATCTTCAAAGTACTTACCTTTCCATTAAATTTGTCTCAATTACAGGTAAAAATCAAACGAGGCTGACCTGAGTCCATATTTTCAAAGTGACATAACCACAAGAAAAGACAAAGGAATAACTAGTAACAATCAATTGCTTGAATAGCAACATGACAACTTTAATTACAGAGTAGACCAAATCCAATCTCAATATGTTATGAACCTGTATCAACACACAAACAATACTTTACTCATTGATACCATAGACTTTTTACAAGACAACTGGCCCAAACACCAGAGCAATTTAAACAGTACCTACACTTGTCCACAAGATGTATAAAGTCTTTCATTTTAACAGACAGACAAGAACACAATATCATATGAATTCCACTTTTCATTTTTTTTAAAACCACACTCCTAGTTGAGGTAAATTGGCAGCAGCAACAAACCCACCATTTTTTCTCTGGTATGGGCCTGGGCACCGCATTGATGCGGCAAGGGTAGTTGGGTTGGCCAGCGAGGTTCCTGCCCAGCACGGTCCCCACCAGGGTCAGGGGGAGTATCACAAAGATGCAGATGCAGCTCACAGCAACCTAGAAATACATACAACATCACCACAAACACCAGGAAGTTAACTTATAGAACTATCGAAAAGAACTCATTTAACAAGTCCTTATCCCATTACTTGTGCGAGATCACTTAAGCTTGATTACAAATTTAATCAGGTAACAGTAAAACTTACATGTCCTCTCCACAAACACATCTATCAGTATTCATATTAAGCGAACTCTCAAAGCATGTTACATTTTTGGGAATACTCGAAATATATTGAGTTATCTACAAGTTTGAAATAAATAGACTGACGATATTCAACCTAAGAGCTTAAATCGTATGAAACAACACACATGTATCTTGTTGTGGGGTTCAAATTAATATTTTGCATACATTTGAAAATGGCAAACTTGTTTTAATGCTAATCAGTGACATTTCTGATCTTAGTTTACTCGACTATGCAACAAACTGCCACCTATTTGGATGCAAGTGCTAACAATGAGTGAAGGTTTGTCTTACTTACCATGGTGCCAAAGGGGATGGCTCTGGAGGCGTGATAGTAGATAGCGATGAAGTTGATGAAGAATGCCGTCCCACACACAAGAGAGGGAAGCAGGAAGGCACTCATTAGCATCTGCTTGATCCACACTTTACCTGGTACACAAGTCAATATACACTATATAACACTGCTACTTTACTATTTGTATCAGTAACTTAGTCATATCGTAGAAGGAATTGAAAAGCACCCTTTCAACAAGTAATTATTTTTGTACTTTACATCTTATGATCAATCATTATTCAGGAAACTGCTTAGAAAATCGAAAATCCTTTACCACATGGAAACAAAATGTAAGAATTCTTTGCATGGGGTACTCACCTCCCATCCTGGCATAGAGGCCCCCTCCACAGTAGCCATTGACAGGGGCTGTGGCAGCATACACAAAGATGGCAGTGCTGAGCAGGGACCCCCTCCTGAAACAACCCGTTGGTCAGTGAGGTATGTACCTTACATCAGTACCCACTCAATTTTAAACAACTGTGTGACCGAAGGTCCCATAGACATGTTTAACTTCAGAATGTCTTGTAAAACGAAACCCTGTTATTCCGGACTGTTATTGTTCAGACAACTAAATATTTGTACATTTAATGCTAATGTTGGTGGGGGTTTCTTTAATACATGTAATTGATTGCAAGCACTTACTCTGTGTAGAGTTCGCCAATGATGGCGAAAGTGATGACACAGATGGAGACCATGCCGATGTGATAGCCAGTACCAATGAGGGCGGAGAACATCATGGGGTGTGACGCCGGTCGGAATACATCACCATGAACCTGCTTCCAGCCATACTCATCACCAAGGTCCTTCTCCTGCAAACAACAGTCAAGACTTGACACATCTGCACTTCCTCAGAAACAGAAAAGTAGAGAACACCACATCAATCAGCTTTTCAGCATGATAACCATAAATATCCTGATTATGAAATGGTTTATCTACCCTAGAATCTAACCAGCCCTGTTCAGCAAAGTAAGGTTTGAAGTCACTGACAGTCAGAAATCAGGGTTCAAATGTATTACATCACAACAGGGATTTGACTTTTCGTTGTAAAATTAATTTGACAATTAGAAGAGAGTACAAACCATTTGCTGAAATAGTTATCTTTTTATCATAAATTAATTCTGAGCCAAGTTCAGATTTCACATTATTTGTCTTAGAGCTAACACACAGTGGTATGGAATTCCAAGACCAGCTTCCCCTCTCTCCATACTGACGGACGTTATGTCAAAGGTTTAGTGAATAACAACAACTGGACTAGATGACCCTGTTCAGCAAGGTAAGGTTTGAAGTCACCGACAGTCAGAAATCAGGGTTCAAATGTATTACATCATAACAGGGAATTGACTTATAGTTGTGGAACCATCACAATCAAGCAGAATTTATTTATTTCTACTTTTCTGCAGAATTACTTTAATAATTTCTGTTAATTTGATGAAAATAACTTCAGTTTACAATTATCAAATATTTTATGAAATACATTTAGTTTTCACATTTTATGAGTGCGAACAGAAGTGTTAAAAGCCACACCAGACCTGTCCCATCTCAGTACTGACGGACAAGCAGCAGTATTGTAAATTCTAGCTGTCAGTTGATGGGAACAAACGTAAAAATTCTAAATATTCAAAATTTTAACAGAATGTATCCCAATATATCTCTATCTTTTTCAACCCAGATGCCTCCTACACAAATTATTTTCTCTCTTAACATCTATTCGACACCACATGGTCTGTTGACAGTTGAGTTAGAAATAGGAAAATGATCCAGCCCTGTTCAGCAAAGTAAGGTTTGAAGTCACTGACAGTCAGAAATCAGGGTTCAAATGTATTACATCATAACAGGAATTGGACTTTTAGTTGTGGAACCATCGCAATCAAGCAGAATTTACTTCTTTCTACTTTCCTCCAGAATTACTTTAATAATTTCTGTAAATTTGATGAAAATAACTTCAGTTTACAATTATGAAATATTTTATGAACCACATTTGGTGTGAAGTGCCACACCTGACCTGACCCATCTCAGTACTCATGTACAAACGGCAGTATTGTAAATTCTAGCTTTCAGTAGACAGGAACCAACTTCCAAAAGTTGAAACAAATGCAAAAAAATTAAATATTCAATATTTTAACAGAATTAATCCCAACATATCTTGATCTTTTTCAACCCGGATGCCTCCAACAGGAATTATTTTCTCTCTTAACATCTATTCAACATCACATGGTCTTTTGAATGTTGAGTTAGAAATAAGAACTAGATGATGAAGCCCTGTTCAGCAAGTAAGGTTTGAAGTCACTGACAGTCAGAAATCAGGGTTCAAATGTATTACATCACAACAGGACTCGAGTTTTGGTGGTAATTTGTGGAAGTATCCCAACCAAGGTGAATTTACCTCTTTCTCTTTTCATCCAGAAATACCTCAATAACTACATTTTTATTTTGTGAAATTATCTCTCTAGTTTTACAAAAAGAATTTCTAATGAACAACAGGATTTCATGCTAACAAACAGCTGTGCGAAATGCCACGCCCAACCTGTCCCCTCTCGGTACTGATGGATAAGTTGCAGCAGTTCTACTTTCTAGTTTTCAGTTGCGAACAAAATTCTCTTCAACATGTTGAAACTAACATCAAAGTTTCCATTATTAAATTTTTCAAGAGAATGAATCCCCATACATCCTGATCTGTGTTAACCCAGAAAACTACACTGTCAAATCAGCTAGCTGTTCCCTTATAATATGTATTTGCCATCACATCATATGTTGAATGTTGAGGTATAAATAAGAACTTGATGATCCAGCCCTGTTCAGCAAGGTAAGGTTTGAAGTCACTGACAGTCAGAAATCAGGGTTCAAATGTATTACATCATAACAGGAATTGGACTTATTGTTGTGGACCTATCGCAATCAGGCAGAATTTCCTTCTTTCTACTTTCCTCCAGAATTACTTTAATAATTTCTGTTAATTTGATGAAAATAACTTCAGTTTACAATTATCAAATATTTTATGAAATACATTTGGTTTTCACATTTTATGAGCGCTAACAGTGGTGTTAAAAGCCACACCAGACCTGTCCCATCTCAGTACTGATGGACAAACAGCAGTATTGTAAATTCTAGCTGTCAGTAGTTGGGAACAAACATAAAAATTCTAAATATTCAAAATTTTAACAGAATGTATCCCAATACATCTCTATCTTTTTCAACCAGGATGCCTCCTACACAAATTAATTTCTCATAACATCTATTCGACACCACATGGTCTGTTGACAGTTGAGTTAGATATAAGAAAATGATCCAACCTGTTCAGCAAAGTAAGGTTTGAAGTCACTGACAGTCAGAAATCAGGGTTCAAATGTATTACATCATAACAGGAATTGGATTAATAGTTGTGGACCTATCGCAATCAGGCAGAATTTACTTCTTTCTACTTTCCTCCAGAATTACTTTAATAATTTCTGTTAATTTGATGAAATTAACTCCAGTGTACAATTATCAAATATTTTATGAACCACATTTGGTGTGAAGTGCCACACCTGCCCTGACCTGCCCCTTCTCAGTACTCATGTACAAACGGCAGTATTGTAAATTCTAGCTTTCAGTAGACGGGAACCAACTTCCAAAAGTTGAAACAAATGCAAAAAAATTAAATATTCAATATTTTAACAGAATTAATCCCAACATATCTTGATCTTTTTCAACCCAGATGCCTCCAACAGGAATTATTTTCTCTCTTAACATCTATTCAACATCACATGGTCTTTTGAATGTTGAGTTAGAAATAAGAACTAGATGGTGAAGCCCTGTTCAGCAAGTAAGGTTTGAAGTCACTGACAGTCAGAAATCAGGGTTCAAATGTATTACATCACAACAGGGCTCGAGTTTTGGTGGTAATTTGTGGAAGTATCCCAACCAAGGTGAATTTACCTCTTTCTCTTTTCATCCAGAAATACCTCAATAACTACATTTTTTTTTGGTGAAATTATCTCTCTAGTTTTACAAAAAGAATTTCTAATGAACAACAGGATTTCATGCTAACAAACAGCTGTGCGAAATGCCACGCCCAACCTGTCCCCTCTCGGTACTGATGGATAAGTTGCAGCAGTTCTACTTTCTAGCTTTCAGTAGCGAACAAAATTCTCTTCAACATGTTGGAACTAACATCAAAGTTTCCATTATTAAATATTTCAAGAGAATGAATCCCCATACATCCTGATCTGTGTTAACCCAGAAAACTACACTGTCAAATCAGCTAGCTGTTCCCTTATAATATCTATTTGCCATCACATCATATGTTGAATGTTGAGGTATAAATAAGAACTTGATGATCCAGCCCTGTTCAGCAAGGTAAGGTTTGAAGTCACTGACAGTCAGAAATCAGGGTTCAAATGTATTACATCATAACAGAGACAAGACTTTGGGTTGTGAAACAAGGACTCTACCATGAATTTGGAAAATATTCGATTTTAATTGGTCAATCAAGTTTCAAATGACAATAAACACTCTGATTGAAACACTCTGATTGAAACAGCCAATTTGACAGCCACATCACCAAGGAAACAAATATTTTAGAAGAGTACTTCTTTTAGAGTCAGTAGGCATTAGGGCTGTCACAATTCACTCACTTTTTCGGTGAATCGAACCGTAACCATTCATGAATTGAATTCGTTATTCATGGCCACTAGAATAAAATATTTATGAATATGCTATCATGTATATTTACATACCCGGTACCTAAATATATCCATAACAACATATTATATGCATAGATTTCTTTCAATGACAACAATCTAATAATATTTAATTTGATAGTATTGTTTTAACTGGCCATTGTCGCATTTGCAGCGTCAGAAATTGGCACTAGTCCTGTAGTCCTTACCAAACTGCCCAATAGTAAAGGTATCCTACGGACTACTAGAAATTGGCCCATTTTAAGGGTTTTGTTATATGTTGTCATTATAAGGACTAGTGGACAAAAACTGTGATTTGAACAGATACCAGTAGCTGGATAAGTGCAGTATATAAATGTTTAATTTATTAATAATTAACAAACCATGTCAAATAAATCATGATGTTATTGTTTCACTGAATATAATAAATACTACATAAACTTGTTATTGTAATTGTGAATTAATATTCGTATTCGTTACCCTATATTCGTGATATGAATCGTATTCGCCTCATAGTGTATTCGTTGCAGCCCTAGTAGGCATATAATAATAATAATAATAATAACAATACAGTGTTTTCAAAGTGGAGCTATGGTTAATTATATAGAAATTTGAAGCATCATGCTGCATGTTCAGTTCCAAATTCATTTTAGCATGGTTAAATGCCCACGTAACCTAGCTTTACATTGAAAACACAGTGGGTTTGTCTCCTAATTTGATGCGCAAGTTGCACTTTTCTACATATAAACAGCATGTACAGATGACTTCAGTTAAATATCACAACATGTTACACTGCAGACATTCACCACTGTGGTGAAACCAACTTGTACGGTACCTGTTGTCACATGACAGATGTGTATTATTGTAAATCCAACTAGATATCTTCAGGCACAATATTGACCATGTTCACAGCTTTTCAAATGCTACAACATTTACAAGCCCCGTTTTGAAGTCCATGACAAAAAAAGGTTAATGTACAGAACTTTGAAACAAACATTCAACATTATTTTGAAATAAAACACAATCTGAAAAATCACTTTACCATCTAAAGAGGAAATAAAAATTGTTTCATCATAACATCATGGAACAATAAAACAATGTGAGAACTCAAAATATGGAGGGCAATTCGAATTCATTCCCTACTTATTCTGAACCTGTTATTTGCGTAATCATTTATCATGTTTATCAAAACAATTCCATATTTCCTCCAACATCTGAATGGAATTTATTCACCTTAACAAGGAATCAATCCTATAACGCCATATAAAGTATCTATATATCCCTGTTCAGCATTTAAGATTTGAAGTCACTGACAGTCAGAAATCAGGGTTCAAATGTATTACATCATAACAAGGATTAAAAGTGCAGAATGTCCTGATAAAAACCAATGCAAGAACAGGGGGCAGCACTGATAGTGTGATCAAAACACCAGGACTATCAATGCAGTCAAACCACTAGTCATCCACCAACATAATGTGGAATCAGAAATTATAAGAAACATTCAACTAGCGTGAGTGAGTTTGTTTAACTACACTTTGCACAGCAGGTCACAGAGTGTCAGCTACATGGGAGGAAAGCCTGAAGCAATACATGCCTCAGACATTACAATGAGCATGGGTAAAGTGCTAACAAACCTAAAAGCAATCTGGGCGAACCAGAATTTGAAACAACAATCATAGGTTTCTAGGAAGCATAAGGGACATAACTCTTCACAGCAAATTGCAGCTCCAAGGACAACTAGACCATTCAAACTAAAACCAGGGTAAGAACTTAACATTAAAATGATTAACCCGCTAGCCCAGGGCTTGTACAAATTTCCCAATTGCTTTAACATTACAAGGACGTTTTATCTTTACCCGGGCTAGCAAAGCAATTGAGTGCGGTTCTAACCCTGTAAAACCATTGATTACTGCTGTATCACAGTAATAACTGGAAAATAGAATCTTCATATTCACAGCACCATATGCCTGAGCCTAAATCACGGGCTGTAGGCAATTATTGGCATGTTTTCCTTGCACATACCATTAGGGCTGGGACGGGTAACTCGAGAACTCAGGTCGGGTGGGTACTGAGAAGGACCCGGGTACCCACAGAACTACCCGGACCCGTGGTTGGTCACGTGATATATTGTTTAATGACAAAAATGATCTTGAACCATATCGTTACACCACACGTCACTGATGATGTCATTTCTTTCTGACAATGCACCCAAACGTTTATATGTTTGAATTAAGATAAAACTTCAGTCAACTTCAGTGTATGCATGACCTGATCGGTTTTTATACATGTATCTTAATACATTTTGTCAAGGGCTACAGTCAAACTATTCCCAATCGGACATTTTGTACCTATCCCCTGAGACCTACAGCGGGTACCCGGGTAGGGTCGTGTAATCGGTGGCACAGTACCCGGGTAGTAAATTTGGATTCGTCCAAGCCCTACATACCATATCATCCAGGTCCTCCTCCTTGCTGTATCGAGCGTAGTCCTTGCGCAGCGTCCTCATCAGGATCATGCTGACCAGACCCACCAAGAAGATAACCATCATGAAGGAGTTGAAGATGCTGAACCAGTGGATCTGAAATACACACACACATGCAGTGTAAGCTTGGATCACAACTCTGTTGGCAGTGGTCATGACATATCACAGTGGCCACCAAGAAAGTGCTGAGCATGGTCAGCTTGTGGGAAATTGGGGAGAGTTGGGTCATCATGTTGACAAGCCAATGCTTTAACCACTATGGTAATGACACCACTTCGAGGCAAAGGGAGCACTAGGAGGCAATATTGAAATGTGTACTGGAGGCCTGGAGTAATTGAAACCATGCCAGACAAAACCAGTGGCAGATAGCATAATCATCAATAAGTCATAAATCAGCTTAGAAAGATTCTCTTCATCAAGTTCCTTTCCACACACGGGGACAAAATTCTAGAATATAAAATCATAAAGTTCTTCTGATTGTAAAAGTTATTTTTAAATACTTAACCACATAACAATAGGAACATGCAATTAAACTTATTATTGAACATTGTTTTTAATGAATCTTCTTGACCTGGCAAGAATGACTATAGTGAAGAGATGACAGATACAACTTACCCTGTGTTGGAAGAAGTTGGGGTCAAGGTACTTGTCAAATCTGTCCTCAAACTTCACCTTTGATGTATGCCATTTCACCTAAATCAATACATAAAAACTTGTTACATTTTGTTTTGTTTTGTTAGTTGTTTAACGCCGCACTCAGCAATATTCCAGCTATATCACAGCGATCTGTAAATAATCAAGTCTGGACCAGACAATCCAGTGATTGATATGATCATCAATCCACGCAATTGGGATACGATGACATGCATCAACCAAGTCAGCAAGCCTGATCACCTGATCATGTTAGTCGCCTCTTACGACATGCTTAGTTGCAAGCATGGGTTGCTGAAGACCTATTCTACCCTGGATTTTCATCATGTTCATGGGTCTAAAAACATGTTACAAATAAATAATCCTTGTAGGTGCATGTATGAGTTTAACATTACTTTCCTCTATCTGGTAGAACTGGTTAGACATAAATGTCTGTAGACTAAAAAGCTGAATTGCATAATTACACAGATGAAAGTTTAAAAACCAGAATATCTCACTGGCACAGTGTTTATCGTAAACTTTTATTGTCAAACTTTTAAAACCAGACGTATATTTTTGTAAACAACTCCTTACCTCATATGTGAATGGAATCTTTTTGTTGGGGGCAAGTTTAACCTTAGCTTCACTCGTCAGATTAACATCAACTATTTGTTTAGTGTTGTAGCCAATGTCAAACTTCTTGTGTGTCCAGATATACAGACCATCTGTGTTCTCTTCGATCTCACCAACAATGCCTGTGGACGGAATCATAATGTTAGATTGTGGCATTCTTATCTGCAAGTTCACGTGGGCCTGTAGCAAACGAGAATGCCAGTCCTGGCTAAAATGTACCGATCTCATGATTGCTAATAATGGATCTAAAACTGTACGACACCCGTTTTCGTACAGCCATACTGACAGTGATTTGTCGCACAATAACTAAAGATGTGATCTTGTTACCCAATCACAGATAAGGTCTTCTGACCAACCATTTTAATATATTGTCAAGTAAGCATTCGGAAAATCTCAAGAGCTTACATGAAGTTATTGATGTATGTTGAGGTAGCAACAATGTCATCAAAACATCACTATCATCAAAACATCACTATCGCAGTGTCTATCATGCATTTTATAATTGGCTGACATTGTGTGCTATTTTCAGAACAGGGATTTCCTATAGAAAGCAACAGAAAATTGACATGCCCCTTTTTAAAGAGTGATTTCATGTTTACAGCGATTTACAGGATAAGATAAGCATTTCACATTGGAACAGGGGCCATCAAGACATATTTTATGGTTCAATACCCAGTCAATGGAAAGACTGCTGTGTGCCTATTGCATGGTTTAACACCGCACTCAGAAATATTCCAGGAGCCTATAAATAATCAAGTCATCACAGGACAATCCATTCTGATTGATTGTTTTTGTGAGCAATGATCCACACGGTCAGGGTACAATGACATGCAATCAATCAAGTCATTGCATCTAACCAAACTATTCATTTGTTCTCTTAAGCCCAAATTCTAACCCAGCTTCCCTACAGGGGTCTTGCATGGACAGTAGCAAGATTAGCGATTAACATTAGGGCCATAACAAAAAATTAGTTGCTCAATTATCATCCTCGCCCGACTCAAGACAAAAAAACTGAATATGAATTAAATTTGCCTGAGTAAAATGTTCAGAGCACTGTAACGGCATCACCTGAGAAACAGTCATTTCGTGTTTTTGACATGCCGCAAACTGGTCTACAACTGACTCGCCTGCTTGCTGTTGCTGTCAAGATGATACTCGCTACTTTGAAAATACGAGAGGGTGTGCAAACCATTAAAAACTGGGATGCCTGTCCTTTGCCAGAGTCTAAGACTGGAAATTTTCAACAAGTTTGCTTGTGGGGAACTTGACAAGTTAACCTCAAGTGAGGATAAATTCACAAGCACATGAGTACAAGTTTGGGCAAGGAAAACAAAAACACGTTTGACACATATACATCCACCTGCAACTGATGAAAGCAATGCTTTATTATCTTTATTTCAGTGAGTGAGTGAGTTTGGTTTTAGCAATATTCCAGCAATATCATGGCGGGGGACACCAGAAATGTTCTTCACACATTGTACCCATGTCGGGAATCGAACCTGAGTCATTGGCACGACGAGCAAATGCTTTAAACACTAGGCTACCCGACCGCCCCTTGTTATTTCAGTCATCTGTTGCTCATACCAACATGACCAAGGTGTCCAGTCTTCAACTTTACCAGCTCCCCACGTTCAGGAAAAAGGTGGATGATAATCTAGCAATAAACTTATTATGGCCTCAGATAAACTGACTCAGGCTATCTGGCTTGTGCCAATTTCTTCCCCAAAGAAGAAGTACACAACAGCTGAAAATAAGACAGAATTTCTAAGCCAAACTATAGATCACAGATGCCATGCCAGTCATGAAAGCATCCAGTTTTTATCTTATTTAACATAATATGACCACAAGCTCCTGCTCAGAAAGAAATAATTTGAGATCACTGATGTTCAGAAATCAGGGTTCAAATAATGCTACATCATGACAGGGCTGCTGTTTCATTTCAGTGGTATGGCCTACAATTCAAGCGTATTGACCCAATTCATTATTAATCCACCGAACAGGATCTAGGGGAACTGTTGATTATACAACAAGTGAAGTCTGCATAAAACAACAACAATGATCAACTAATCCAAAGTAGGTGTCCTGTCAGTAAAGTGAATACAAACTAACAGCTGGAGGAGCCACATATTTACTGCATATATTACCCCTTCATATCAGGAGACAAATGACATTAGGACACATTTCATGATTTTATCAATTATTTTCTAACATTCTTTTAACTCTAATAAATTTGAAAAATAACCATGACACTTTTTTTATGATGAATATAGTTGATGTCCTAGAAAATGAAGCAATCTGAAATCCTGCATATTGATACAAATCATACACTCAAGTCGATATTACTGATGCCGGATGGAGAATGCAGTGTGTGCAAGATAAAACTTCATGATACAGATTCATAGGAAGGTTACCATATTTATTGTGCAAGGTGAATTAATGCTGAAAGGTATGATTAAGTTATTGTCAACAGTATTTCTATCAGTGCCATATGTCACATTTATGTCACCATATGTCACCAGCATTTGCTGCATTGTGGTAGAAATGAAAACTGTGATGTTGCAAAATATTTTAATGAATATATCAAATATAGAAGTCTTAATTTTAACAGTTCTTACCCCAGATAGGGAGATCGTCAATGTACATCTGGTACCAGTAATGGTTCTTCACAGCATAGCTGAAGGCTTGATATTTCTCCTCAGACAAGTCCACTGAGCAGTATTGGGTTTTGGTCACATCAGCTGTCGTCCGAAAGATATTCATCACTTTATTCATTATGTCATAACCATGGAAATAGGATTTTATTTTCTTATATCCAGGATTTCCCTGTTCAGAGTAACTTGATGCAAATCACAGAGATTCAGAAATCAGGGTTCAAAAAATGAAAATCATCACAGGGAAAAAGTCATTTGCATGTACAAATTGCAAGCAGAGAACTTTTACATAAATCTAGTAAGCATTGTCGCACGCGGGTAGATGGAAAAAGGCTCATTACAAACAACAGATTTTCTGAAAATGTTTGTTTGTTGTTTAACGCCGCACTCAACAATTTTCCAGCTATATGACAACAGTCTGTAAATAATCGAGTCTGGGCCAGACAATCCAGTGGTTGACGTCATGAGCATCGATCTAAGCAAATGGGATACGATGAAATCCATCAACTAGGTCAGGATACTGACCACCCGATCCTGTTAGTCGCCTCTTACGACAAGCATAGTCAGAAAAAGAAATTACAAGAACACAAAAGAAAAGACAATACGAGCCACAACACTTACCCATGAAGTCGATGTCAACCCCACTGAACTCCAGCTCAACTCCAAGCAATGCCTCACCAAGGGTTTCATGGTAATGACTAATGCTCTCCTTGGGTCCGCGGCAAAATGGGAGAGAGTAGTACTCGTATGTCTCCTGGCGATTGTGATAGGGGCCCACAGTGTTCATCCACAACACAACCTCATCAGCCTCATTATACTGAAAATAAGGAAGAAACAGTTCAGGACACAGCATGTACATTTACACTAATGGTGGTCCAGTGGATAGAGCATCTGCCCAGAGAGTGGAAGGACATTGGTTCCCCATCCATGTCATACCAAAAGACATTAAAAGACGGTATTTGTTTTTACCCTGCCTGGTGCTTGGCATTAAGGAGTAAATAAATTAGTGATCGGCTTGAAGTCAGTATACAGTGTCAGAATAGCGTATCCATTTTTAAACCTCTTGCATGGCATCTCAGTGGGCCAGCACTAAAAAAATGGCATTTGTCCAGATTAGTACAGATAGACACACAATGTTGAAGGCGACATGAAACCCCATTTCGCCTCATCTTCACCGAACCACTTGTCAGGGCACTGGAACTATATTGTGTTAGAATAGTAGTACATGTATTGTGTAAGAATACCACTGAAATAGTACAGCAATAATATCAGTGTCGAGGCTTACATCCCCCTCTTCTTAAGTTCGGCAGATTTCTACTGTAAGTTCTTAAGGAGTAAAGGCAGGTAGCTATAAATACAGATAGTCTCATACAAAAACAATGAATACTTTCTGACATCAATCCAATGGTGAAATATTGATGAGAGACGTTTAGGGTCTTATTAATGTCAACTATTGACTTTTAACCATGTTCAGGTATTGCTTTCAGCCTATTGACAAGTTCAGTGTAGCATGTGCATTGGTGGTTAATCAAATGCTACACCCAAAATCACAACATCTTGAAGCTTAACCTCGGCATGTCATGACTGGGTAAAGAATCATGGATTTCCTCAACAAGAAGAAACAATACTGGTTTCCTCTGATGTAATGTTTTGTTGATGTTTGTTATTTTATGGATGTACAAAAACATAATTGTTTAGGAAATGTGTATCCACTTTGTTCTTGTCTCCTACGACGACAAAAAACACTGCTTCTGTTTTTGAATTCCAATTGAAACAGATGTTTTTAAGCAATTTACTTGATAAACTTATGTTTAGAAAATGACAGTCAATGACTTGTGCATTTTGTGTGGGCAGAATGTTTCTGCAAACAATAATATTCTGTTTGGTCAACTGAGCGTGTTGGGTGTTACGCCTTTAAGCAGTATTCCTGTTATATCAGGTGTTTCAGCTTAATGTGAGAGGATTGGTTTGTTGTTTAAGGCTGCACTCAGCAATATGACGGCAGTCTGTAAATAATCCAGTCTGGACCAGACAATGCAGTGATTAATATCATGAGCATCGATCCATGCAGTTGGGATCGATGGCATGCATCAACCAAATCAGCGAGTCTGACCACCTGATCCCGTTAGTCGTTTCTTAGTGAGGGAGTGAGTATGGTTTTATGACGCTTTTAGCACATCTTCCAAAGGCAAGAGAGTTAACTGGCTATAAAAGTCCAGCTTCCACCCTTGCCGAACTAGGCTGGTATTATGGAGTTAGATTTTGGCCGGACTAACGAGTCTATGCTTAGTCCAATCAAAATCTCACACCGAAATCGAAATCTGGTTCGTAAACTGTCATGCAGAGTTCGGTCGATTGTAGGATTTGCACAGCATGTGCACCGACAACTCTTTGTCAACAGATATTTTCCAAATCTTTTCAAGTTTCTAATCAAGGTGCTCACGTGATTTTATGCACTTTCATGAAACACACGATCATTGGTATGGTGCTCACAAACCTAGAAACATAATCTGACAAAGAGAAGTACCGTATTCAACGTAATAAGCGCCCAGGGCGATCTCAAAATTAGAAATAGGGGGCGCTTATTAGAATATTATTTTGAGTTGAAAGATTGTAAATTTCGTTGTTTATGCCAACAGCCTGAAGTGTTTACATACGAAAGATATATTTTTCAAGAATTTAATTGCCCATAATTAACACACGAGTGCGTATTACACACGAATAAATACGTCCTGTGTACATTGATCAATCGGAAGGGGTGCTGATTGGGATTGTTTACTAGCCAATATATTAGCAAATATCGCCGTGGGCGCTTATTAGAGCGGGGCGCTTATTACGTCGAATACGGTAGTCCACAATCATAGGTTTCCGGCATGCCCAAGGAATGCAACCACACACAGCAAATAGGAGGGCTTGGTCACCCCTGCCCTTGTTTGGTCTAGTAAACTTAGCCTACTACAACCCATATCACAAAAAAATCACATTAGAGCTTCTGAAAATGATGTTGGGGCTAATAGTAGACAAAGATTTTGGCACAGACTACACATTTTACATCAGTGAGTGAGTTGGGTTTAACACCGCTTTTAACATTATTCCAGTTATATCAGTCATGCTAATAAGGTCTCAGACAAACACGGGTATGGTGCTGACAAATCTAGAAACCAGATCGGGGCGAACCGGGATTCGAACCCACAATCATAGATTTTCTGGCATGCCCAAGGAACGCAGCTCTGCACAGCCAATCGCAGCGCCTTAGACGACTGGGCCAACTGGACCAACCGTGCCCCCCCCCCCCCCCCCTTTACAGAGTTTGAGATAAATTGTGTATTTGCGTAAAAATATACATTAAAAAAACTGAAATATGCAGAAAAATCAAATCATAGTGTATCAAATACACAACAAAAATGATAAACATGCTATTGAAGTGAAACTAATGCATATATCACAACTATTAAATAAAATGACTGCGTATGTTAAAGCTGTTGGATGTAATTACTGTGTTTCAACCCATTGCGATATTCACTTAGTTACATTCTGAAAAGCTTCTGCATAAATTGGGAGGCATATAAAAGCATGACAAAGATCACCGGTGGACATATTGCTGCCAGGATGGGTAATTTGACTACTGTATAGACAATACATTTAATGGATGACAACATCCTTATTCTGTTATGATGCGATGTTTCAGTATACATGTATATGCAGGACTCAGATCTATGGTAGGACACTGATCCGTGGTGGATTCTCATGTCTATGGTACACATTGGAGATTTCTCAGATCCAAGACAGATTCCACAATGAGACAGATATTGGCACATACTCAGATATATCATATCAATTCATATTAATAATTGACAATTTCTATAGCGTTAAATGTCACAGAGATTCATATTATAGTGGAAGACTCTTGATCAATGTTATAATTTCTCTGGATTATTTCTATCATTTCCCCTTTGCAACAGCATCGTCGGTGCAGGGATAGCATCTCCATACTTTTCTTAAAAACATTCCCCGAAGTTTCATTGTAGAAATAAGTTTCGCACCATCCTCTCATTTTCAGGTTCGCACCATCCTCTCATTTTCAGGTGTTAATAAAATCATGATTATTTTCACACTTGCCCACTGTTGGAATCAGAGCATTACACGAGAAGCTTCTTGGATTTTTAAAAATTTATTTGAAAATGATTCGGCTTTAGTGTCTTTTGATATTGGTTTCTTTCCCTCTATTTTCTATGGTGTCCGGCCCCATCGTTTATGACTGATTGCTGTGCCTATCGGTAATAGATGTTGAAATTACATTACGTCATCACAGGCAAGGAGTTGTGGCATCACCTCAAACGTGGCGGCATATAACAATTGAACTGATTGTCCATTCATGCAAACATGACGTCATATAACAATGAGAATCTGCCACGGATCTGAGAATATGCCATGGATTACAGTCCTGCCATAGATCTGAGTCCTACATATAGACCCGATTAGACCCTTATACCGTTGTCAAGGATTTTATACTGAAACATAGCATCATAATAGAATAAAGAAGTTGTCATCCATAAAATATCTTGTCTGTACTGTTACTTATCAACTTCTAAAAACCCAAGAAGCTTCTCGTGTAATGCTCTGATTCCAACAGTGGGGAAGTGTGAAAATAATCAGGGAAAATAATCAGGATTTTATTAACACCTGAAAATGAGAGGATGGTGCGAAACTTATTTCTAAAATGAAACTTCGAGGAATGGTTTTAAGAAAAGTACGGAGATGCTATCCCTGCACCGACGATGCTGTTGCAAAGGGGAAATAATTGATCAACATTGATCAAGAGTCTTCCACTATAATATGAATCTCTGTGACATTTAATGCTATAGAAATTGTCAGTTATTAATATGATATGATATATCTGAGTATGTGCCAATATCTGTCTCATTTGTGGAATCTGTCTTGGATCTGAGAAATCTCCAATGTGTACCATAGACATGAGAATCCACCACGGATCAGTGTCCTACCATAGATCTGAGTCCTGCATATACATGTATACTGAAACATAGCATCATAATAGAATTAAGAAGTTGTCATCCATAAAATATCTTGTCTGTACTGTTACTTATCAACTTCTAAAAATGTCAAAACAAAACAAATCGAACAGTTCATTTTGATTGCTGTCGGTCCATTGAGGAATACCAATACAGGGATGGAAACTAACTGTTTTAGTCAACTAGTCCTTATACTGATAGCATATAGCAAAACGCTAAAAAATGGCAAATTTCTACTAGTCCTTATGATACCTTAACTTTTGGGCAGTTTGGCAAGGACTATAGGACTAGTGCCAATTTCTAAAGCTGCAATACCACTGGGGTATAGTGCTGATAAACCAATGATCATGATCTGGGTAAATCTGAGAGGCAACCAAACAACAATGGGTCTAACACTGCTTAGAGACTCAAATCTGCACAGAAACACCTTAGACCACTGGGCTTGCAATTCCCTGTTATTCAATGTTCGTTTCTTTCTTTGTTGATCAATACCGCACTAAGCAATATTCCAGCTTAATAAGACAGTGGTCTGCAAAAAGATTTGAGCCTGGACCAGACAATCCAGTGATTGACATGAGCATCGATCCACGCAACTGGAAACAATGACATGGATCAACCAAGTCAGCGATACTGACCACCTGATCATGTTAGTTGCTTCTTACGATAAGCATAGTCATGTTTTACGGCAGTGGGTGCTCAAGACCTATTCTACTCCGGATGTTCACGAGTCTCTAATTCAATGATATTTGACAGTAGAAATAGGTCACACAAATATGTTAACAATTATGTACTTCTCACAAAAATAATGATAACCTTACAAACAAAACATTCTACTGAAGTATACCTTTTACACCAGTAAACATATTCATTCAGGCAAATGCCTAGATCTATATTTTTTCCCCATTCTCGGTAGAATTTAATATTTTAAGAATTATGCATGAAGGTGTCCTGTGACCAAACCAGTAAATAATTAAAAAGAAAATAAGTACACAGCTAGATATATAAATATATGCTTTTTGAAATGCACCCCTATCCCTGATCGTTGGAAAATGTGTTCACTGAAGCTGAAACCACTAAGTCTAACCTATTCCCAACTGATAACTAGTGATAAGTAGGTTACATCTGACATTTAAACTGTATATGGTTATGTTTTAAAACATAGCATGCAGTGCATAGAATTTATCCATGCAAGGTGATGTTATTAAAACCAGTGTTAACATGACAGGAGTTTTGTTTAGCAGGATGTAGGCCTAGTTTAATCATGGCCTTATCATAGCAACAAAATGTCCACGACAGCACAAGTCTTGGTGTTGCCGCAAAGTCATTGAATTTCCCTCAGACTAGATACTAATACAACATGAAGAGCATGTCATCAAATGGCTAAATGACAAAACAACGCAACAGTTATGACAACATTGGGATTCTTCATAAACACATATTTTCTTCCGATGACGTTTCCCATTCGGCGGATGTCAGGATCGTCTGTTGACAACACAAAAATACAACAGCATTTGTCCACATAAAACTAATCATTTGTCAGCTTACTCGATGATCAAAGTCATACCAGGTCTTTATTTGCACTACAAATCGAGTAATAAAACATCTGCTGAACTCATCTGAACGACGCAATTCTGCATAAAATGCCACATATCACACAAACGTATATCACCGGCAACCGATTAGCATTACTTACTGTATGGTCGTGTTCGTCGCATCCAGCTTGATATATTACAACTAACACTAGTATGGCGATTTGGAAAGGTTTAAGCAACATGCTGAAAATATTTTGGGGAGCAGATGACACAAGACAATCGCGATATATACAGATTTTCTTAGCTAAAACAACCGATCCAAGTTGACAAATATGGCCGCCTCCATAGGCCACGTAGACTCCGCTTGGTGGCACTGTTCAGGGGAGCTCACTCTTCTCCTTCAACAGTAAACAAACATGAATAAGGCATGTCTTGGCACGTCACTCAAACAAATTAAAGAGGCCCACGATATCCCACCGTCAAAAGATAAGATGGTAGGTCTTTACAAAGCAAGCCCTACAGCTTTCCCGTAGGCACTGCATAGATAGACTGCAATGACAACGTGTCATATTTCTTTCACAGATCTATATATGAGCTCGTAGATAAGTGTGTGTAACCATGAAAAGTATTTTTAAAATGTTATTTATTTTACCCATGTGAATGAACACTTTTTTCGCAAGTTTGATTTCAAGTGTATATGTGCTGTTACCAAATTATCAGATTTAGCTGTCTTGGTGCGCCCTGGGCCGGCTTACTTTTAATTTGCCCCGTAGGTATCTATAGGATAGATTCGGTCCTTATGTAATAACTTAGGCTGGTCGTAATTACCCGGTAAGGGTCTGAGACGGATCGGATGGTAAGCCTCGGTCGGTAACAAGGTCGATTGAGTTTCATTGTACGAGCGGCAGTGGGGTAGCCTAGTGGCTAAAGCGTTCGATCGTCACACCCAAGACCCAGGTTCGACTCCTCGAATGGGTACAATGTGTGAAGCCCATTGCTGGTGTCCCCCGCCGTGATTAGTTCACTCATCTCTATAAAACCTTTCGAACTGTTCAATGATCTGTTGTGAGGTGAGGTGAGGTGAAATTGGGTTTAACGTCGCGTCCAAGATTATCGCACTTATATAGCGACGTGCATGTACGTGTGTGTGTTTGTGTGGCTGCTTGTACTAGTCCGGACTGAGCCGATTTATAGTGCCAGCCCACTGAGATACCATGCCGCAGTTGAACATGAATACCCCACTCAGACACAGTATACTGACTCCGAGCTGACCAGTCCTTGTTTTAGCCCCTTAATGCCGAGCGCCAGACAGGGTAACAACAAGTACCATCTTTTAACGTCTTTTGGTATGACGCGGCCGGGGATCGAACCCCGGACCTTCCGCTCCCCGGGCGGACGCTCTACCACTAGACCACGGAGGCGGTCTCAATGATCTGTGCAAAATAATGGAAAGGCACTGATATGAAGTGTGTCCGATAATATGTAATTCGTTGTTTTAAATAAATTTTGTAGAGTGTGTTTTATGTTGTGACAACATATGTGTACCTGATCCATTTCACATTGAGTACATGTTTCATTAATAACATTAACTCTGCGATCCTTTCCCTGAATCGCTACTTTAAAAATTATTGATTATTTTCTTTTTATTGTTTAATGCGCATTCAGTAATATTCAAGCTATATGACGGCGGTCTGTAAATAATCAAGTCTGGACAAGATAATCCAGTGATTGACATCATGGGCATCGATCCACACAATCTTTTCTGTGTGATCTGCATCGCTTTGGGCCTCCCACGTAAGATTCAGTGAGTGAGTGAGTTCAACGCCGCTTTAACAGTATTCCAGTTATATCGCGGCGTGCCAGCTTAATGTGGGAGGAAAACCCGAAGTGATGCAGGTCTCAGACGTTTTCCACTTCGGTGAAACCCACGTGCACGGGTGTGGTGCTGACAAACCTCGAAATATAATCGGGGCAAACCGGGACTCGAACCCACAATCATAGGTTTCTGGCGTGCCCAAGGGACGCAACTTTGCACTCCCACGTAAGACATACACACCGTGATGTCACTATACACTGCTCAAGCGGCGTTAATCTCAACTCACTCACCACCCCTTCTCCGTAACATGGTATACGGAATCGTCCTTATCCCATCCTCCCTAGGCAAGGGCGTCAAATGACTATAAATGTCCAGTTTCCACTAACCGCTATTGTCAGTTAACTCCCTTGTCTCGCGAAGATGCCCTTATCAATGTACAGATATAAATTTGAATGTAATAACGTAAAATTTTACTTGTGATGAGTTTTTAAACAAAAAAAATGTTTACCAAATCGATTATGTTTCTATAGCCAACCGTTCTCCGACGAACACAATTTACGAGGAACGATGTCAATCAGCCTAGTGAGTTATCATTCGTCACCACTCGCCCCTTTCCGTCACCTGCAAGAAGAGCTATTCGGCTTGTCCCGGAATAACACGAGTTGGTCACGAATGGTGAGTTATATCTGAGGAACCAGGCAAAAGGGATGTAGTTAAAACCTTGTTTGATAAGAAAACAATGCCTCTACATTACAAGGGTAACCATCCGTGAAGATACGGGTTAGAGTTGGTCTTCAGCAACCCAAGCTTCTTGTAAGAGGCGACCAGCTGGGTTGATGTACGCCATTGTAACTCAATTGCGTAGATAAATGCGCATGATGTCAATCACTGTATTGTCTGGTCCAGACTCACCACCACCTAACACATATCCCCCTAAACAAGACAAAATGGCCATTTAAAAATATTGCACCCTGTACCCGTTTCCGAACGAACTAGACCGTCTCCGTGGTCAAGTGGTAAAGCGTCCGCATGGAGAGCGGAAGGTCTGGGGTTCGATGCCCGGCCGCGTCATACCGAAAGACGTTAAAAGATGGTACTTGTTACCCTGTCTGGCGCTCGGTGTTAAGGGGGTTAAAACAAGGACTTGATCGGCTCGGAGTCCGTATACTGTGTCTCAGTGAGGTATTCGTGTTGAACTGCGGCATGGTATCTCAATGGGCTAGCGCTATTAATCGGCTCAGTCCGGACCTAGTACAGACACAAACACACATATGCATGCACGTCGCTATGTAAGTGCAATATTCTTGGACGCGACGTTAGACCCCATTTCACCTCCCCCTCATCTTCCCATTATATACAGATCGCCGCCATATAGCCGGATAATAAGTGTAATAACAAACCGCAGGGTAACTAATAAATGTTAAAGATTGAAATTCATCATGATAAAATAGTGGAGTAAGTATATAAACAAAATAGTGTTTGAATGAGTGAAACATATTTGCTTGTCTTTCTAATAGTAGTTATTTGCCGAAAAAAAGCCCCCCTTTAAAATATTTGAATCAAATCAACCAGGACTTCTTGTCCCCGCCTCCCGAATCCCCCGTTAAACATCTAGACCGAAAACCCAAAATCTGCTTTTAAGGAAGACATAGTCTATCTCATGTTATCTTAATGTGAGTTGGACGGTACACCTGAATCGTTGTCTGTGTGTCTACCGGAGGTGTCGATATCAGCTGTCGACACCGTCATCAATAATACAGGATGTGAACAACCACCCTGCAGCATCACCGTGTCGATTGTGTTCGATGCAGTCACCGCAGCAGGCTGATCCTGCAAATACTGTAACCAATCACGTGCTGCCTGAACGTGTAGCTTTCATGTTGTAGGGGTATGTAGTTTTACTTTTTGAGGGATTATCGGTTTTCACATGTTAGATACTTCGTTCTGCTGAGTTCTTGTCATAGAGTGAGTGAGTTGGGCGTAGCGCATGTTTAATCAACATTTCCCAGCAATATTAAGACAGGGACACCAGAAATGATATTCAAAGATTAGACTTGTCTCGGGAATCGAACCCGGGTCTTCGGCGTGACAAGCGAACGCTTTATTAACTAGGCTACCCCACCGCCCCAATGATTATAGAAGTAGTAGAAGTAGTAGTAGTAGTGGTAGTAGTAGTAGTAGTAGTAGTAGTAGTAGTAGCAGCAGCAACAAAGTAGTTGTAGTGGTATTAGAAGTAGCAGTAGTGGTAGTAGTAGTAGTAGTAGCAGCAGCAGTAGTAGTAGCAGTGGTAGTGACAGTAATAGTAATAGTAGTAGAAAAAAGAAGAAGTAATAGTAGTAGTAGTAGTAGTAGTAGTAGTAGTAGTAGTAGTAGTAGTAGTAGTAGTAGTTGCAAAATATTTGGAGGTACCATTGCTCCCTCGAGTATTCGAAAAATATTTGGAGGTACCATTGCTCCCTCGAGTATTCGACACTGACATATCTAGCTGCGGTTTGCTGGGGTCAGGCTACAGGTTGTCGACGTGCTACAGTTGTAATGTTAATCACTGCTGGGTAAACACCAGGATCACGCTGAACGCCAAAAATGCATATGTTCACCAGGTAACCACCATCACCCAACACTAATTCCGAGGTGAGGATGGGTTACCACTTGCAAAGCTCAACCAATCTTCAAACCGCATGTACGTCTATATTTTCAGCTTTCACGTGTGTGCAGAACACATTTTTAAACCGTACAGTCATCTATTCATGCTATGATGTTGTATTTTCCAAGTATCATTCAACTAGCCTCCTTGCTGTACAACCCGTGAAGATCCGGGGTAGAATAGGTCTTCAGCAATTCAGCTTGCCGTAAAAGGTGACTATATGCTTGTTATAAGAGGCGATTAACGGCATCGGGTGGTCAGGCTCGCTGACTTGGTTGATGCATGTATTCAAGTTGTTGTGGATCGATGCTCATGATGTCAATCACTGGTCCAGACTCGATTATTTACAGACCGCCGTCATATAGCTGGAATATTGCTGAGTGCGGAGCTAACAAACAAAGAAACAAACAAACAAACAATCTTACTGCACAGCTGCTCGTTCTGTGGCTTTCCTTACCCGAGACGTTCTGTAGAAAATACACCACTGTCAACTAGCACTTACTGTCGAGTTCATACTAAATATACAGGATAAAATATTTGCACAAAAGTGAGCAGTCTGTGTTTCTTTGAGTGAGTGAGTAAGTATGGTTTTACGCCGCTTTTAGCAATATTCCGGCAATATCACGGCGGGGGACACCGGAAGTGGGCTTCACACATTGTACCCACGCCGGGAAGGGAACCCGGGTCTTCGGGGTGACGAGCGAACGCTTTAACCACTAGGCTACCCGACCGCCCGTATGTATCTTTGAACTCTGCAATCATGGCAGTAGTATATAGGACAACCCACTACCTGGACGACGCCAGTTGTGATTGACAGTTGCCATTAGCTGATAATTCATTTTAACCAGATGGTTCTATCTGGGCTAGCAGATGACACAATATTTTTATTAGATGAACTGAAAAAAGCTATTGCAAGCT